TCCGTGAAACCCACCACTACAACCAAGACCTTACAGAGCAGGATGTGCTGGAGCTTATCCCTCGAGGATTAGGGCAAGTGAAAGTTTCGGGGGACATGTGGTTATGCTGCTTGCACTGCCGGAAGCACAACAGGCAGGTGCAATTCAGCACTAGCCACGGCCTTAAGAACCACTTTGTCACTCAGAAGCACAACCCGGCACTCAGTGCCACGCCCGCCGGACCCCCACACTCCTCCCCCTCCTCCTCCCCCCAAGCTCCCACAGGAAATCCCTCTTCCAGCAGTACCAGGACCAAAGGTATAGACAAAGCAGCCGGCTTCGAGCCGCCACCCTCCCCCCCCGTGCCCTTTCACTTCCTCAGCAGCTGAAAAGGCGGCTTTCAAAGCAGGCCAAGCAGAGACACCGAAGGCGGCCGCGCTTCCGGTTAAGGCCCCACCGCCCATGGTGGCCACCCAATGCCCCCCGCCTTCTTCATCCTCGGCAGCACCAGCTCCCCCTCTTCCCCCGATCCTTCCGCACCCCCCCAAGTCCGTCTCTCCCCCAACCCCCACCACCCAGGCCGCTCCGCGCTCCCACACGCCCCCTCCTCCCTCTTCCCGTCCCCCGTCAGCATATGAGCCTCCGGAATCCAATGCGGAACTCGTCGGCTATGTCCCACAGCCGGCTCCACGGCTGACAGTACGTTACACGCGGCAGGAGCTGGCTCAGCTGCTGAGCTCCCAGTCCCATCAAGACTGGATTCGGGCCTTAGCTTCCATCAACACCCTGGTGGCTCCGGTCATTCTTGGCGGCCTCACCAACCAGGAACAACAGACCCTTTGGTCTACCAGGATGGAAGCACTCCGAGAAGTTCCGCCGCTGTGCTCTGCCATCAAGTCCGTAAGGACGCAAACCGGCCTCACATGGGACACCGCCATGTCGGTGAGGCGGGTCCTCACAAGCGATGGGAAGGTCACCATCGCCACAGGCGCGGGTGACGCCTACCGTGAGCTGGACGCACCAACAAAAGTGCATGGCCTTATCCATGCCTGCTTTAACAAGATGTGGGACGAAAAGGCTTTTCGGCAGCACTTCCCCTCGTGGGTCGAGTTCAATATGATCGCCACCACCATAGTGGCAGTCTACAATGAGACGGCCAAATCAGCTGGACTTCCAGCTCGTGTCTTCCGGGTCAAACCCGACAAAAATGCCTACTCCATCATGAAGATGCGGATACAGCATGACAAGGGGAACGAAGAGGACAAGCGCATGGCCAAACTGGCTGCTGCTGCCCCTAACAAGCGCCCACAGATGCAGGAGGCTGACACAGAGGGCAAGCGGCAGCGCGATGGCCCCTCCTCATCCTCCTCGTCCCAGTGGGCCAGACAGGCACGCTCATCTCAGGATGACGACTGGGACTGGTGGCAGCAGTGGTCCTGGCATGGTTACTCTCAGCAGTGGCCAAAAGGTCATGACCAGTGAGGGCGGTAATATGTCACAGACTCTATGATCCCTTATGTCACAGACTCAGGGAATTCGGCACTCTTCCGACGCCTAGCACATCTCTTCGGAAGAATGTGAACCGCGTGCTAGCCTCGCTTAAAACAGCACTTTGCGCTTCAGCGAGTTGCCCACATCCTAGCTGCCCAAAGTCTCACGCCACCGGAGTTGCTTCAGGTACCAGCGGTCATCCGCACATGACCCTTACGGCCTTCTGTCTTCAACATGAGTAATCCGTGTGGGACGCCACGAGACGGACACTCCAGGTGGCGGCTTCGTCTGAGGTACGGCCTAATTGTTGAGACAGGTGCACAGATGGACGCGTCTGTTCACACCAAGGTGTCGGAGAAGGAAGCTTTTTGTAGCAGTAGCAGTTGCAGTAGTATGTCAAGTTCGAGCTGATTAGAGAGACCTGAGCGATGCATGCTAGAAGCAGTTTCACGAGTGCACGAGACCAACGGCGCCCGCAAAGCGCAGAGCACGCTCGCGCAGCGTTCAATTGAAAAATAGTTAGTAGTAACATTAGTAGTAGTTAGTAGTAGTTAGTAGTAGTAGTAGTAGTAGTAGTAGTAGTAGTAGTAGTAGTAGTAGTAGTAGTAGTAGTAGTAGTAGTAGTAGTAGTAGTAGTAGTAGTAGTAGTAGCAGAAGTAGTGGTAGTGGTAGTGGTAGTGGTAGTGGTAGTGGTAGTGGTAGTGGTAGTGGTAGTGGTAGTGGTAGTGGTAGTGGTAGTGGCAGTGGTAGTGGTAGTGGTAGTGGTACTACACACCTTGTTGCCGTATTTGCACGCGGTGCCTGAGTGGATCTGCGCATTGCTTAGTTCAGGTATGGGCTCGCACTCGCTGATGTTTGGGGACTTTGGTGGGCTAAGTTTAGAGCCCATGTAATTTAACAAAGTTAGGGCTAAGAAATCCAGGTACCCTTAAATCCGGAAACGACTTCTGCATAAAAACATGCGCTGCAAGCAACATTGACAAAATCTGTGGTACCGTCTAAAAAACACGTGTTTCTTAAGCGGTGCTGTCCCTGAAATTCTGAGTAGAAGGCTAGGAACGAAAAAGGATCACAAGGCAGTTCAACATGCTGTAAAACAAACTTGCAAGCAGTACTCGTAAACATGCCACGCTGCAACACATAGATGATGTAAGGCAAGAACCTGATATTGTGCACCCTACTTGCACTTCATCTTGAGATGCCTGCACAAGCAAGAGTTCCATGCATGTGCGTGTGCATGCACATGCACATACACATGTTCTGCATGCTCGCCCAGGCAGACAGACAGGAGCGATGGTGTTGCCTCGTAGACCACGCGCTGTGGTCCGCTAAACCGTCCACTCCTGAGACTCTCGGAAATGTCCCGACAGAGCGGGACACTGAAGCAAAGCTGCTGGTTAGGCTTCAAAGATATCATATCAATAGGCTGTCTCCCCCATCTACAAGAGCTGCGCAGTTGATGCAAGCGAGGTTTCCACTGAAATTTGTGTGCTTGCATGCCTAGGCTCTGGGCTATCACAGCAGTAAAGCTGGCTGGCTGGCCCTTGCAGGTGCAACAGACTTCTGCTTTGAAGCTGGTACTTATTCACGAGAACCTCTGAACACTGCAAGCGAGATACACTGGCCAGGAGCAGGTTACATCGGCAGTGTACCCGTGGTATTCTGCCCCTTAGTTTCCAAAACACACCGACCTGCCTCCGGCTGCCGTCTCAGGCGTCTCTCAGGCTCCAGCCCATGTCAAGCAGTCTCAGGGACCCTGGCTCCACAAGCCTCGGGAGGCCGGAGCCCAGGAGCTCGCCTTCGACTCGCCGTGGTGGCAACGGCTGTCGACTGAGGCGAGGCGCTCAGAGTTTGGCTCGGCAGCGTGGCCGTAGTGGAGGATGGCATTACCTGAACTCACCACGCACAGAGCGCACTGCGTGCCGGAGTCGATGTTGCTTCTCGCGTTTTGAGCCGAGCGGCGCCTGCCCGAGCCGCAGATGCAGCTGTAGCCCACACGGAAGCAGCCGTGGAGGGCGGCCTCGGAGGGCTTCGATCCGTGCGAAGGCCGTAGGCGGGCCACTCCAGCACTCCCGCCTTGTACTTGAAGGTGGCCTCTGCCAGGTGCTCCCGTTGACCACCCTTCACCGCCCGCATGGTCTCAATGTGTGCCTCTGAAGACACGTCATTCGTCCACCTGAACTTCTCATGTGCAGCATGAAACTTTACCTGTGCTGCTCCGAAGCTCAGCACCTATGTTTGCATTGAGCTGGCAGACGTGCTTGCTGCCGTGCATGACATGTTGATCTGAGTAAGTGACACTGCAGGCTATCTCGTGTGCAGCTGCTGCCAACTAGCGCTTCTCAAGTCCCAAGGTGCTGAAGCAGCTTTAGCTCCTCTTCGTCCTTCACCTGCCAACGGGACGTTGTTGCTTCAACGACTGCGACGATCCTGGAACATCGTGGGGAACCCGAAGATCCTGGAACATCGTGGGGAACCGAAAGCTGAGAGCCAGGCTGAGCGAATTTCGTTCAGCTCATCCCACAGCGCACTGCTGCCTGCAAGATGTGGACTCGAGGCTGAGCATGCATTGCGCAAGGAACAAAAACATGGAATCAGTGTTGGCCTTTGCTGTTGAGTTGAAACGTATCCTGCGCGATGCACTCCGAGCACTCATCCCATAGGCGCGAGCATGTTCTCACAGCGCTAGGTAAAATCTGACGACGAAACACCGTGAAAAGACATGTCAATTTGACGTTACTTGTACATCTCGCGTGCAGATGAGTCCTTGCCATCGAAAGTGGGTTCTTCCAGTTGGAGACCGGAGTCCTTGTTGCAATCAGGGTGACCTACATAGAAACCCTGTGCGACTAAACGTACGAGGGTCTCTGTTGGGCGACCCACGGACGAAAAGAAGCTCCTCACAAGCAGGGGGCCGATCTTCCTCTTCATGATCCGCTCTGTCACAGAAGCCGTGGCCTTGGCACCCAAGTCTAGCAGCGTCTGCTGGATCTCATCAGTATGTGCGACCTGGCAGGGTGTTCGTTGCTCCCTACTCTGTCACGGCTCTTGGGAAGCTGTCACCTTCCCAAGAACCGCGAGCCGAGGAAAAACAAGGACCTTTCGGCTTCTTTTGGCCTCCTCGATGCTGTAGGCTTTCTCGAACCAGGCCTTGAAAAAGTTGCAGGCATCACACACTATTTAGGGTACTAATTTAGAGTTTGGGTTGCGGGACCTCTTCACATATTGCCAAGCCCTGCACAAAGCAAGCCCCCACCCCCCCACCACCCATTTGCATGTTGTACGAAGATGCTGCCCAGGCACCGGCGGCTTGATGGGACCGCACCAGGCCTGGTAGATGTTGTCCATCCTGGCAACGTCTTTGGAAGAGGGCTTCCGAGAAAATTGATGCCAGCTCAGTCTATTCTTAGCTGCAAGCTCAGCCCTAACCTCTCCTAAGCACATCCTGTCAGACTATGCACGGGTACACCTGCGCTCCCCGGTCAAGCCTGGGGATAAAGAGCACCGCATGCGCGTCGCGAACACGCAAAGCGGCAAAGCAGTCGGGCTCCTTGCGTCAGGAGCTGACTAGATGAGATGGCTTCTTCCATGTCTTTTTCGCTCTACGTTTTGTGACCTTTGCCCACTTTCCCCAAGACAAGTATATTAGACCCCTCACATCTCTCGTCACAACTGAACTTCACGGACAAGTCCCTCATGCACTCGCCATCTTCCACGACTCAACCAAAGCCTGCCATGTCCGAGACTAAGCTTCCAGTGCAGGACTCCAAAGCTGGGTTTGCTTCACGGAAAGCAAGCTGCCAGCAAGCTGCGTCCCACCTACACACGCATGGTCTGCGAGAGAATGAGGGATGCAAAAGACGGGATGAGTCAATCTTCTCAGTCAGTGGTAAGAGAGGCGTTGGGTGTGCCCAATCCTTGACTCCGAAGAGGTACTGGAAGTTGCTCTCCTGCTTGAAATCCCAGTTGGTGTCCTCGGAAAGGTTGGCTACACATGCTACCACTACATGGGACACGGCCGTGCAGGCAAAAAAGAGTGTGCGCCCAGTCTTGAAGTCGCCAGAGGAGTTCATGCCATGCGGGCCGAGTCTCCGTGTCGTAGACGCTGGCCTCTTTGCCTCCTTGAAGGAAGATCACCGCATCTCTACCGATTTCCGCTCTCTCGCGCAGAACCTGTCACTGGAGAGATCTGACATAGGGCATTGGGCAGGAGAGTCGATCAAGAGCATGTACGCACCAGCACGACTGCTTCTGCAAGCGTTGTGTTCGATGACAAATCGGGATGCGCTGTGACGATTTGCACCTTGAACTCTCCGGCTGCTTTGCGAACTGCGAGAAGATTCCCCGGCTTCTTTTTACACTTCCAACTCGCGTCAGTTCCTGTGTCCTTCTGTCTGGGAGCAGGCTGTTTACTTTCACGGATCCAGAAGCTCTGACCTACCTTTTGCTTCACGGATGCGTGCTCAGGGTCCTGAAGTGCCCCGCCTGGCAAAGCTTCTGCCGGTGAGCGGCATGCATCGCCATGGGAACACGTAGTGTGCCTGTGAAGTGAGTCATATCGGAACTCTATACAGGTTCCCGTACAAGAATCTCTACCTTCCCTGAGCTGCCAAGATTTCACGTCTCTCAAAAAAAGCTTCGCCTGCACCCATGGAGAAGAAGGGCATGCCGTCCCGATCCCAGGAAACCTCGGCCGCGCTCGGCTGCAGGCATCTCGTGGACCCCTTCAGACTTCATACCCTCACTCCCCATTCAAGGGCTGGGCACCCTTGTCCGGGTCAAGACACCAAAGCCCATTTCATGCGATCGATAGCTCATCCAGCTAGGCACGACATAACTAGCATCCCTGCACCAGTCAAGGCCATGGAACTGTTCCTCCCGTGACCATGGGACCGATGCCTGTTCATAGGGAGCATCGGCTGGACGCGGTGAACTGCAACTCCCTCTTTGACCACTTTGAACTCGCAGCTTTCTATCAGCGCTTGCAATGGATAATGGATGGCTATGCCTTCATTTATCTTAAGCTATGCTTACCGTGACCCCGGCGAGCTTCAATACACCAGGGCAGGCTGATTCGCAGTCTGCTGCCTGCTGCCCCGTTGTCCATCTTGGCTTTTTTCGCCGGATGTGCTGCCATGGCCATCGTCGAAACAGCTTGCACCTCTACTGTGCAGAGTGCTCCCTGTAGATACTTGTCCATGACCGTTGGTCTTCGTTAAAGACAGTAGTATACAGGGCATAAGGGCACAGGTGCAGGGCTAACAGTGTCGGTCCTTGGCACGGAGCCTCGCAGCTGCGGTATCTCACTTCTTAGACGCTGACTTCTGTTGAGCTCATGAACGACTCCGTCAGTATCCCCGAACCCCAAGCACAGCCGTTGTGGTCACTCGGTGTCGCGGATAAGATTCTGAACCTGGACCGTGAAGTCCTTGGCGCAAGGATTCAGAGATCCGTGAGGCAGATGTTACCGGAGATCGTCCCCGAGTACGCACATCGATGATTTAGCAGCCGCCCAGCTCTTGACGCCGACGCTGGACGTGTTACACGAATCATGCAACAGTCACGCAGATAAGGATTTCTCCTGGAAACGAGATTATTGGATCCGATCAGCCGGTTGAAGCACTATGCCCTCAACCTGAAACCGAAACACGTGACACGACATGAAGCCACATGGACCCTCAACGAGAAAGGAAGCAGGGAAGGCGTACCGTGGCTGCCGTCAGCACTGTCGAAGAGAAGCTTGCCGCGATGATCTGCAAAGCAGATGCTTCAGCTTCCACTGTCTTCAAACCGCTGCTTCCCCCGACAAACGGCGATCCGGCCTGGTTGATGCTTGGAGGTGTGAACTGGTCCCGGACAGCTGTACACCAAGCTGTTCCAGGCCTGGCCGAAGGATCCAAGCGGGCCATGGCCATGGCCCGACGATCCAGCGAAGACGGCAGCAAGTCTCAGTTGCGGAAACCGTTCAATGTGGCGGCTCCGCTCGTCCAGTTGCAACGTCACGGTCGCCCTGCCAGCAGACGGCTTTCAGACGAAAGCAGGCTTGAAGTGGCATCTGGTGAGACTCCGAGCGCCAGACGTCGTTTCGCTGTTGGAGGCGATTGAGACGACGGTGATGATCGGTGGGGTCAAATCCAACGTGAAGCGGCCTGCAAACCACTGTGCTCCAATGCGATCGCACGTGAGCTGGAATGAAGAAGTTAGACGTTACGTGTAGCATTTGTATTTCTGAACCTGTCGTGCATTCCGCAAAGCTTTCTGATGCATCCGTCTTACCCGTCACCTATCCCCAGCATTCCCCGAGAGTGCTCAGTAGTGCTTGGCGAATCTCGCAAGTCGGCCTAACACAAAACAAATTCGCAGAAATGGAGCCATGGCCTGTCGCTTCAACGAGCACCGGCAAGGCTTCGTTGTTCCTCAGGCGGGCGCGTGGCTCACATCAGTGGAGTGAATTCACAAGCCCACAAGCTGAATTCGCGAGGCTTGACGCAATGAGGCGCAAGCGAAACAGGTGCTGGGTCGATGGTGGTGGCACCCTCCACGAGCTCGTCGTCTTCTGCTGCGCAGTAGACGAAGTACCTACAACAAAGAACGGCGTCCGGCATGTGCTTTGTACACTCCGTGCAAACGTGCAGCGATGCATAAACAAGCGAAGCCACTTGGTTTCCATGGTGAGGCCAGAGACCTTGATGTCGAAGTTTTTGTAAATGTTGTTCCTGACAATATCAATGTTTGATCTCGGACTCGCGGAGAATGCGCCGCAGAAAGCTCTGCACATCGGCATGGGCACTTTTGTGGTCCAAGTCTCCAGTTTGTGACGGTGTTCTTGTAGACGGGCTGGCGCAAGAGGTGCTGTGTAACATCCACACAACAACAGGAAAAACTCAAAGCAGCGAAGCAGGGGGCGAAACCCTGAAGAGTGACAACAAAGCTGGCACCAAACCACGTCAAGGAGAAGGCCTTCTGTCAGAGGGCCTCTGAGCACCCTCAGCCGGAACCCTTCTCTCTGAGGCTGGCACTGCTGTGATAAGTGCGGTGTAAAGTGCAGCATCCACTGTCTGCGTGGTGGTGTAGGCCTTGCAATACCTGCAGCTTCTCTTGCGTCATCGGCCGTGCCAGGCTTGACAGGCTCAAGCAAGAGCCGTTTCTCCGTACTCAAGCACGCCACTCTGGCATGCCTGAATCCCTTAACACAATACTCTCCCGGCGGCGGACGCTGTCCCTGGCTCATCCAGCTGAAGCGTAACGGTGATGGAGGACTCCTCCGTCGACTCCTGGCCACAAGATACGGCAGACTGACATATCGTACAATGTGTATGCTGCCAGATGCTACAGAAAAGGCTGGGTGGTCGATCCCTCTCCGCTCGCAAGAACCAAGCTTCAATTTGCCAGGTGCACCGCTTCCACGAAAGTGATGGTGGGCGGCGTTGTGTCTGGAGTTCTGACCTCACAGTCGTCTGGCTATTGCTCCCCCTGCGGATCATAAGAACAAACGGTTTCAAAATCTGCGCATCGTCTTAGTGGGAGAGGGATCCGGAGGCGCGTTTGACTGTTGTCCCACAAGTCTGAGGGGCCCGCATGCAGGATCTTCCTCAGTCAACCGCGAAAACTTCTCGGGACTGCTATCCTGATGCTCTCGCTGTCTTCGTGTGAAACAATAGACACTTCAACGACTGCATGCCAAGTCGGTTTGACTGTGTACTCCTGCAACCAGCACCTTGTAGAATCACACTGGCTGCTGCTTTCAGAACACGGACATGTCTGCTCACGCTTGTGACTCACGCCCGTGCTCATGTCCTGGTATCACTGCACCATCATCCCCCCCTACCCCATCTGAGCCAATAAGTGCATGCGTGTCATGCTTGCCTATGTTTGCTGCACCCAACCTGCTCAAGCCTGACAGAAAGACCTGCAAACTGCCTCGCCACTGACCCCTTTTACGAAGGCCCCCGAGTGAACTCAGCACCCAAGACTTCTCAGCGAAAGTGGAAGCATGGAGAGTCAGAAGCTCCAAGGTTGCTGCCCTCCTGGCAGGCCCGCCCCGTTGGTGACCGTCGCCGGCGGTGTCCCGCCGAAGGCGGTGTCGACATAGGTTTGGTCCTAGAGGCAGCCGTACAGAGCTCTGGCTCTACCCATGATTCGCGCCACAAAACCTTCGCTTCGAGCATGGCCGGAGGCCGGCCGTCCAGGGTCCTGGTAGTTGTTCCTGGGGTAGGTCGTACACGAGGCACTCGGCGCCTCCAGGGAACGTTCTTTACGACTCCTTCAAGCTCCACCGGCACCCATCTGCTTTGAGCAAGGGAGAGGGAGAGGAGGGCCTGCGCGTAGCAGGAGTACTGAACAGCTTCGTCGCGGCTCCAACCTACGCGGGGCACTGGCATGGACAGATTAGGATTCAATGGGAAAGCGGCGCGGGTCCCTTCTTCCAAACACAAGCCCTCACAGCATACATCGTGGATGCCAGAAGGCGCTGCCAAGGCACAGTAGACGTCGTACAGAGTGCCCCGGTCAAGCAGGTCCAAGCTGACGTCGTTCTGCCAGGACAGTCTGTTCTGGGCAAAACATAATGTTGAGACGTTTTGCCAAAGTCAACACTGCAAAAGCCCAAGCCGCACTCAACTCGGCACAGGCAGCGGGCTGAGGACACCGTCTGCAAAAGAGCGAAGAAGGTCAAAAAGCCAGACCAGACCGGTGCCTCCAACCGCGCCAGGTCGATCGTTGCAGAGAGCCCTGCCCCTCCGGTCTGGTCCGCATAGTAGTCGGCCTGCAGCGGATTTCTTGGGGGGCGTCGAAATGAGCCTCAGCCTGCTGAGATGTTTTGGGACTTGAGATTCAGTCGTAATCATAATCTAGACCCCGACAAGTTGGAAAACGGATTAAGGCCAAATAGTGCTGGAATTCCCTATACATTAGTCTTAAGGATTGAGGATACCGGGTAAGGCGCACCTTGAGGATGCGGTTGACGCTGAGGCTCGTCTCGCCGGAGTCGCTTCGAGTGACACGACAGTAAGCCCTGCAGGCCTTCCAGAGGCAAGGTGGAAGACAGCCAGTGACCGGTTGGGATGCTACTCAATGAGCTCCTGCGATTCCCTCCAGCAGTTGCAGCATGGCATTTGTGCCAGACTCAGACAGCTTGCCCGTCCTCGTTGCACTTGAAGGTAACCTGGATGTTGTTCTCCTGGCGGCGATGTGCAGTTGACCACCCGCCGAAAGTCGAGGCACGAGACCGGCATTGTTCTTTGCCGGGTCCACCGTGGTGCCCTTCGCACCGAGCTCGGTGAAGACAGGAGGCGATTGATCCAGGGTCGTGAGCTGGCCTTCAGTTAACTCAACATGTCCAGCCTACCAGCCTACCAGATGCAGCAGGCAAGCGACCTTCAAGATGCACCGCTGTTCAGCTGACTGAATTTCCAGGACTTTGCTCTATCACCACCATGCCATCAATCAATACATGCCCCAAGCGAGGCCCACACCTATGGCTGGGAAGGTGTTCAGAATCGAAGCCTGAACAGGGGAAAAATTGATCATCTTCTTGCCAGCAGAGAACCATCTAATTAGACCTGTGTCTCATGTGTGGAAGCGACGCACTTCAAATGCAGTAGCACAGCTGCACGGACAAAACTAGCAAAACGATGTGGCCTGTGTCATCTCGTTGACCGTCGGCAGGGTGGAAGCATCAACCGCTGCGCAGTACCTTGCCCAAAGCCCCGACATGGACTCCGGGTAGTGGCTCGTTGCAGTACGTCTAGGTGAGGAGGATGGTGTTCAGGCGGGATTTCAATGCAAAGGCAGCTCTCAACCAAAGTTGTGTTTGAATGTCACTGGCATCAAACAACCTCTCGTCGAAACTGTGGGAAAGCTCGGACGGCGCACGTGTCGTAAAGCGTCAACTCATTCAAGCCAGAGACAACAACCTCCACATTGGTGTTCACTGGACTGTTCGGCCTGCACGTGTCACACGAAAGCAGGGCAGAGGGCGAAGAGGAGCCGAGCTCCAGTGCATGCCTAACGCCGCCGGGTGCTGAGGGCTTGGCGACAGCAGTGGGAAGCCAACGTACGACTGAAAGCCGCCACCAGCAACCTCAGTCATCCAAAGCGCCACTGTCGCGGCTTATCTGAAGTGGTTTAAATGTCTTCGCCCCGCCCCTGGGGCCCGTGGCAGATGCAAAGGTTGGCGTGCCATAGGCTGTTGACGATTGGAAGGAGTTGCAGTACACCTGGGCGCTGCTAGGGTCAAAACAGCTTCCGGGATGACAACACCATGGAAAATTGGCGGCATCGGGGCACGCACTGTTCCTGGCTCGTCCATCTTGACCTTCCAATCGAACAAGCTATTCTGATACTCGTGGCACGAGAGCAAGAGCAGGTGCTCTGAACGAGGCAGAGTGAGATCTCGGAAGAGGTCATTTCATCCCGATGGAAGACCGTCTAGAAAGCTTACACATGTGATCTGAATACAAAGACTGAATGCTCGCTACGGGAGCACTCGACATAAAGGCTGTCGGTTTGGGACTTGCCCAGCCGAACTGGGTTCCATGTCATGTCCCATGCGCCACCTCGATTCGGGTGGCTTGAATAATCATAGTCCCCCCCAGGGCAAGCGAAGCATCCAAAACAGGCTTTCTCGCCCGGGCGCCTTGATCCGGATATCCGAACTGATAGGCGACTCGGCCGAGACGATGGTGAGAACCGGCCTGTTTCGAGGAGCAGAGAACCAGAGGAAGCACAATGAGAATGCAGCACTGCTAGGGCTAAGGCGGAGTTGTGTCCTGAGTGCTCAGGGTGACCACCTGGCGAACAGTCATGTGGTATCAGAAGTGGCCAGTCTGTACTCTGCCCCAAGCTACAATGGATCCGTTCATCTACATGCGCCCCAGGATGCGGCCCTAACCACTGCCACAGGTGCAGAAACAAACACAATGGGTTCTGTAGCTCCGCGCAGTTGATCGCTGCATCGGTTTCATGCCAATCTTCCACACAGAAAACATGCGGACGCACATCACCGGCGACGAACTTCTGGCCGTTGGGAATTTGCGGATAGACATTGTCATCCTCCGCGTAGCACCAAATGTCGTACCTCGGCGCAAACCATGCGAAACATCTAGTCAACATAAATCTTCATTGAAAAGTCTGATAGGCGTGTTGCCAAGACCTTCATGCCCGGACCATGCATCCACTGAAACAGGGGGATTTATTGCCAGGAAACAGCCTGTGTGAGTTAGCCTGAGCCACCGGCAAGGTCTTGGCATCGAGATTCGCCATGGTGACCTCATGTTGCAGAACGTCGAACTCAAGTCAGCCCCGTGCTCTGGCTCAATTCTCGTACGGCAACGACGAGGGCAGCGGTTGAAGTTCTACAATCGCGCAAGCTGGATGCTAAGTCCAATCAAGGTGATGCTTGCCTCTGGCTTCTTGTCTTCGTTGTTGCTGGTTGTGATGGCGGTGAGGATGATGATGACGATGACGATGACGATGCCGATGATGATGATGATGATGATGATGGTGGTGGTGGTGGTGGTGGTGGTGGTGGCGGCGGAAGGAGGAGACACCGATGATGGTCGTCATCATGTCAATAGTCGTGACCATGCTGGCGAGCGGCTCTCCTTGTCACTATCGCTTTTCTTCTTTCGGATGGGATCGGACTGTAAGAAAGAAGACAGGACATCGCGCGTGTTTCGCGTCCGTGTGGGCCGTGTTTGTGTGCTCGGCAGGTCATTGCGGGGGAAAAACGTGCCTGCATTTCGGCCCTACAAGCCTCTGACTCTCACTCACTCACTCTTTCACTCACGCACGAACTCACTCTCTCTTTCTTTCTTTCTGCTGGGCGTAGGGGTCGTTCAGACCCTCAGGCCATTGGCCCGCCCAACCCACCCACTGTGTTAGTGAGCGGTTGGCTTTGGTGTTCTTCCTGAGCGTGGCAAGGAACTACTTAGTGTGCCCCGGGATTTCCTGCAGCGAGCCCCACCCTTTACGCTAAACCGCCCGCGTCCCGGCCTCTTCACCGCGCCCCTATGGCTACATCCCCCGTGCAGGGCTCGCTGGTTTGTTTCCCCCCGGTTGGCACCACTAGTCTGCAGGGTAATGCTGGGAAAGTGCAACCAGCTCGTTGACCATAACAAGTACCCCCAAAAGCCGACTGGTACTCACTCTCTCTCTCGCTCTCTCTCTCGCAATCTCCCCCTGTCCGTATTATCGTCGTCATCGCTGTCGTCGCCGTCATGATCGCGGTCGCGGTTGCGGCGGCAGGAGCAACTGCAACAGCAGCATCAACAACCGTGGTGGCAGTTCGTTGCAGTGGTAATGTCCTGATCGTGGCTGTTGCAGAAGCAGTCGTAGCGATGCATTGCAGCTGTTGTTCTTGCGCTCGTGAGGCAGCTGCAGCTGTTGTGGTCGTGGAGGTTGTGAAAGTGGCGATGGTGCTTTGTTTGCGACGCTGCAGTGAAGGAAGTCCCAGCTTGCGAGACGAGTCTAATCGAGTGCGCTGGGCTCGCCACCGAAGGTTTCGAGCAGATGATACATTTCCATCAAAGGGAACAGTCGAAAAAATCAAACGATTGAAAATGATGTTTAAAGACTACAGGTACAGCGTCCTCGATGTCCGTATGTCCTCGATGTCCGTATTACAGTAGTATTCTGGAATGCAGATGGCATTGGTGTGATTCTTCCTGTTTCCGGCATTGTTGCAAACTTCTCCCTCAGCCTCATATTTGTCATTTTGGGGTGTTCTTGTTACTGGTGTTGATGGTGCTGTTGCTGCCACTGCTGCTGGCAAACCTTGCCTGCCATTAGGTTGTGCTGTGCTCGGTGTCAGTCACACTGAGGCTTCCGGCCGTGCAAGCGGCGGTGAAGCAGTCGACGTCGTATTCGTTGTTCTGGCATCACATGGCCAGCTGATTTGCAGCCAGAGCCGATTTGCTGCAGATTCAGGGCTACAATGCCGACACTGGCCTGGAGAATCTCGTTTATGCTTGGCTCGGCAAAGGTTGACCGCACAGGCATGCACCAGATGGTGCCTGGCTGAACATGTGGAGTCACGCCCCATGACACGCAATCCGCAGCGTGGACATGGGCCTGAAAACGCAGACGAATGGATCCGATGGCACTGCCTACTGGGACTTCAATGCATCGCAGCCTGCTTCGTCCAAGCCGAGCGTGATCTGCAATGAGGTTTCGGACAGAGCGGCGCCTTAAGGCAACTCCGCTTGGACTTCGAAGAGGCAAAGGACATGCCAGAGCCGGGACGAGGGCTCACTGGAGTTCCTGTGAACGTAGGTGGTGTCTGGTCGAGTGTTGTCACCTGCACAGCTCACCGCGAGGTTCAGTTTCAGTGCTCCGATGCGTTAGCGTCAAGACAGCACCTGCCCGATGGCCAAGTTCACTGCAGTCATGTGGGCCTGCTGGACCTGAAAGGATCTGAGAAGTGCGAAGGTCTCACTACGCTCGCACTTATCAATGCACGGGCCTTGTTGGGATTCACAGGCGCTACGAAGGACGGCGAAGGTGAGGGCGTCGGAGCCTGCCGAGGGCTCAGGGGATTTGGGATTTCGCGAATCTGAGCAGCGCTGAGGTGCTAAAGCACGGCTTCCCCTTGCTTCGACCATTGACCTTCATCCTCGGAGTTGCCCCGAAGCTGCTGGAGACTCAGGCACGGCTCTGCTTGGATGCATGAAGTTGGGCCTGGTTCACCCAGTCATCTTGGGCGAAACACCAGACGTAGTAGAAGTAACTGGCACAGGGAGGCAGTGACTTTGGCATCGAAGGATCTGTGCTGGCACTTGGCACATCTTGGCGATTGCAAAGCTGCTAAAGCACACAACATCGACAGAGCTAGGCGCACTTGCCCACCATGGCCTCTCCAGCCTGGGCGTGATACTTCGTGGAGGTGTGTCAAACCAATGTCTTTCTTTTTTAGAAAGCTGCAGAAACATGCGGAAACGGCGCGGCCAGATGGCGAGCGGACGAGGAAAATCGACCGGGGCCGGCACGACAGTGGCCGTGACCTTCTCAATGCGGGTCATGTCAATGTCGAAGTCCTGGACGAGGTACGAGTAGCCAAACACCTGGCTTCCTTGGCTACCCCCGGGCCTGGTACGGAACATGCACCTCCTCCATGAAAACGGTAGAGTCGGAACCCCCACGATTGACACCTCGCGTTCAACTCCGGGTCACGAAAGCCGAAGTTGTCTGTGATCATGGCACTCATGCGTCGTGACAGGTTCCGCCTTGAATCCATGTTTCATAGTAGCACGGGTCCGAGGACGTCCTCAGCGGAGCCCGAGCAATGCTACGACTGCTACGATCTATCCCACGACAAGCGCAGAAAGACATGCCAATCTCCCGCGTTGGCCCATGCCCTCAATCTAGGCACCAGTCAGGAAGTCGATCGCGCTGTTCTGGCAATATCTCGTGCCAGTCGGGGAGCCGTCCTTCCAGCTCTGCTTCCAGTGGCTATGTCGCTACATTCAATCAGTGCCCGTCTCCCCCGCCTGATCTGCCACTTGGCACCACACAGTGCCAGGCCTCGGCAAGTGGATCAAAGTCTGCGGCTCTCATTCTTGTGATCTAGTGCTCCAGCCACATGTCACAGAATCAAGCAACTGCTTCAACCCACTAGCCTGTGGGACACAACTACAGCGGCCCTCTTCAGCGCGCGGCTCGTTGAGCTGCAAGGTGACCTGGATGTGTGATTCGCCCAAGGCCTGGCAGCTGGCATGCACATCCACAGACGAGTACGACTTGGGTAGACATATATTGGGAGATAGATAGATCAGAGTCCTAGTATGCAGACTTAACTAGATAGATGGATAGATAAGATAGGTAGATAGGTAGATGGAGAGATGGAGATATGGAGGGATGGAGAGATAGAGAGATAGAGAGATGGGCAGATAGAGAGAAAGAGAGGGAGAGAGGGAGAGAGAGAGAGAGAGAGAGAGAGAAGATAGACCCTGGCTTGCTGTCCAAAAATTCCCGTCCTCACGAGATACCACGATGATGGTTGGCGGCGTAGTGTCTGTGATCCAGACATTCTCCGTGAGCCCTGGCTCAAGAACCAATTCCAAACAGGTCAGTTTTCAACAAACTTCCCCCCAAGGGTGCTCTGTCAGCTGGCAGATGACCGCTAGAATGACCGGATGTACACCGAGCATACACTGGTATTCACCACTCCGCATCACCTTGACGAGAAGCCCGTGACTTCAAGCTGTATGCCGTCACCCTCAACTTCGAACAACTGCTGCACGCATTGCCTAGGAGACCCACGTGATCCTGCCTCCAGACGGGTTGTTGACATCCTTTCAGGACCACCGCGCAACAATCACATGTCTCCATCTCAAGTTCTCGACACCCTACAATCCAGGACTCATCAAGTCTTGCGGCACTACTGGGTCACGGCAACAAGACACTACAGCCAACCACTCTCTCCGATAGCAATCGCTAGCCACTCAACTTGCAGTAATCTCATCAGAAAATCCTAGCGTACCTCTCTGCGGTAACTGTCTTAGCTTACTGGTTACTTTAGCCTACTGACCGCGGCCTAGGGCTCTGCTACGAATTGGACAGCGCTACTCTGCCCACGGTGAGCATGTTTGCAAGAAGTGAAGGCTGAGTCTCGGGCGGCTCCAACCGCCGTCTCCACCGTGCTTTGGGACATGTAGTTGGGACGTGCGAAGCCATGCGTGTCCACCTTGGCCAGTCATGCTCTTCGGCTTGCTGACAGCTTCCCGCTCTGAGATGTCTTCCACTGCGCCCGTACCCAGCTTCCGCGAAATGCTCGGGAGACGAATTGTGTTTTGGGAAAGCTGAGGCACTCACAGCACTGTCTTTAGCCCAGCAGTACACGTCGTACTGGGAGGCTTCGTAGAGCACACTGCGCACAAGCTCGGGTCAGCATGAGAGACAGAACTTAGAGCTTTGTTGATGTCACATGCTACGATTATCTGTCGCCGGGTCAGTTCAGGGCCTGGAGCTTTGAGCAGCGATGGGACTCCATGCCAGCCCTCCAGGCCTGGAGGGATCGCGCGCCTCCAGACTTGTGATCGTGATCGTCCCCACGTCATTGACGGGATCGAAGATTTCCTGCCAACATGAACTGCGACAGTGCAAGTCTGTGCGAGTCTCTCCTTTCAGCCGGCAAGGCTCAAGAAGGTGCTGTGAGCCCCTAGGCCTGGGAGAAGTCTGCGGACAGGATCTGATTGATGTGCAACGTTGGCTCGGCCGAGTCGCTCCTCACGGAAGCACGGAAGCCTGAACTTCACCGTCTCAGCAACACGGACGTGGCTGATGTGAGGCCCTGGGGTGGTCCTCTTGGCCCGGCAGTACGCAGTGCCCGCCTTTCCACGTGACGAACGCGTAAAGACGCGGCTGCGAAGCACCAGTGCAGGGCCTCGTTGAGCTTGAACGTAACCACGATCTGGTTGTTGACGGCTGTTGGGTCTGGAATCTGCAACCTGACAAGAAGAGCTCTTCTGCCGTCTTTTGCACCGCACGAGCAAAATATGTCAGCCTCGTGAAGATTGGTGGGGACTCGTCCAAGGTTTGCACCTGGGCCAAAGTCCCAACTACAACGCTCCCGCTTCGGAATCCCCTCGCGGGTTGGCCAACACCACCTGTGGATGCAAAGTGGCCAAGGACGCAGGAAGCCGCTGCTGTGATAGCGAAGGCATACGACACAAAAGCAGTTCCACGAGACCCGAATTGGAAACATCCTTCCAGACATCCTGAGCCTTCGCCCTTCCACTAGATTTTTGTGAAATACTGCTCCCTCTGGAGATGCACCAGGTGCCACGAACCAGCGTTGCTTTGCTCCCCACGCAACAGGAAAGCAACTGGGGGCAGGACGGTGCCAATTTCCTGCTGCATGGTATGCATGTTGTCGGAACCTTGCAGTGGCATGAGAGTGCTCGCTGGACTTTGATTCGCTCCAAGAGAGCGTGCCCTCAAAAGGGCAGAGGAGCAGCACCACGTCTACCAAATGCTGCAACTTCCTAGAAACTGCGCGCAAGCCAGGTCAGAAAGGCTGAGTGTGATGCCACTAGCAGAGCTGTCGAAGATCATTTTGTTCGGCCCGTTCGGAGGCACCTCGATCTGTAGGGTTGAGAGGCCACGTTCTATCATGGGATCGTCTCGCTTCAAAGTAGAATTGACAGGAGGCCACACCTCGTCATCTTCTGCAAAGCAGTAGATGAAGGGATAATCCGTCTCCTCCTAACAGGCATACGCTAATATAATTTTGATCGTTCTCACCACTCCCCAGGCAACAGATGTACAGCTGAGCCTGGAGACCAGAGACAATGATGTCCACATCCTGAAGACTGAAAAACAGTTGGACGGCAAGAGTTCTGTTCGTGAAAGAGTGCCCGAGGCAAAAAGCAAAGCCTGATTGAACTTCCATTTGTAGATGTCGTCATAGTCCGCTCGGGAATTAACGCCTCGGCACGAGACAGCTTTCGGTGGCTTATTCCTTCTGACCGCAGCAACGAAACGTCTTGGCACGCCAAATCGTGTCGTAGGGTAGGGGCCTGTGTCTGCCTGGTCAGAACTGGATCAGCGAAATCTAAGTTTGGTGCCATCCGAATCCGCATCTTCAATGTCATCCAGGTCGTAGACCCAGAACCTTTGCAAAGGCTCTTGCCGCGATCTTCGCACGACTGTGACTCTCAACAAAAGAATGGCAACAAGGAGCCAAGCGGTGCCCAGCACCTGAAAACCTGGGACCTAGGAATCCTGGAAGCTGGCTCGCGGCCGCACGCTCAGCTTCACACGTGCCGCACTGATTGCCTCAACCACAGCTTCTTGCGGGCAAAGTCTTGCTCTTTCATCCGAAGCTTCGAGCTTCTTCCCTTCGTCTATCGAGGTCCGCACCTCGCCCATCCTGGCAGTTGGCATCCTCGTTCTTGATCTTCGTCTCTGCATCCAAGGAGTCGGTGAAAGCCGGATCGGTGCCTCGTCTCCCGAAAGATGCAAAAGGCGACTCCCGATCCAAACGGAATCGCGAGCCCTGCGTTCATGCCCTCCTGCTCCGCCAGATACTGTACAGTTCCAGTAGCAAAGCTCAGCTGAACCGGAATATGACTTGCTGCCAGCTCTGGGAAACCCAGAACTCCTTAGAATGGCAATTCACCTACCTAAGCCTCTTTGGACCCGCTGTGTTTGGCCAAAGCTGGTTCTGAGGCTGCACACTCCAGGCGGCGCACCAAACCATTGCACCTGTGGATCTGTGTTTGGACGTTCGGGCACATGAATTATTCGCTGCAAGAAAATAGTTGCTTGACAACTTTTGTCGGCGCACACAGACAAAAACTTGTGAGATCCGTCCGCGGCAATCAGCATGCAACACTTCGGTTTGCCTTCATCCACCTGCAAAGTGATGAGGATCCGGTCGCTTGCAATGGACTCCGCTGCGACGTACCTGGCAGAAGCAGCGACCTTTTGGGCTTTTTGGCTGCACCTCTGTTTGTGGCGTTCTAGCTGTACATGGGCACGGATGGCTACAACTACAATGTATGAGGCAGAGTGGAGACAAGATAGTTGCTCGCCTCATGTTCGGATTGGTGTAGTCCTTGGTGCGGATGGAGTCCTTCGTAGCCACGACCTGCCACGACGACAGGAATAGCCGCCGCCTCACGCTTGAAGTGAAGCCTTGAATCTGGGGCCCCTGCTGCGCTGAAGGCAACACCATTCGTGACCTGGGTCACTGTCAGGCTCTACTAAAAGCCATCAAAGCCTATTTTCCACCGTCTCCATTCCTCGTTCATTCCCGACCCATCTGTTGCTCTTCTCTTCTCAGGCAACGACCCGGCATCCTAGGCACAGATCATCCGAGGCATAGCAGTAGACCTTGCAGAAACATGAGGCTCCCACTGCTGTCGCTTCGACTTCCTATGGCTCAGTTTTGCGGTAACGGGCAATGCACCGCTGAGTTGTCTCGAGGAATGGAACTGAGTGCGGTATTTCTGGCACGTACAAGTGAGGCTTCAGAGCAGCAAGGGCTGCTCTCTAAATGCTGCTTTCTCCTTCGCGATGCTGGAACGCATACCCGCGGGCTGTCCTATTGAGCTCTCACTGACGCAGCGCATGCACGAGCTCCACATAGCCCTCCTCTTCGGGTCGAACGAATCCACGGCGCACCTTGACACTGCAGGAGCGGTGAAGGTGACTCTGGTGGCAGAATCTGGGAATCAGAGGCTCGAACAAGCATGTCAATGATAACAACGGCGACCTCGGCAGCAGAAAGATCACATGCAACGTCAAGCGAACTGAGCAAGACCAGATCCCAAAGAACCTAGCCCTGGATGTAGTTGCATGTCAGCGACGTTCGGCTTCCAGTCCGGCTCTGACGATGACACGAGCGAGTCAATGACGGCATCCATGCCTGGGTTGCCAGTTGCAGGCCGAATCAGGCGCTACAGATGCTACAGCGACGGAGCCCTTCAGCAACCCAGCCTAATGAAGCCACCGACATCCTCCAAGGCCGTGTATGCTAGCCAAACTGCTGATGTGAAGTGCGACGCGAGCTGCCAGTTTGACTGTTGACAAGTGGGGCTGGAAGGGCAAAGGGCACAGGGCGAAAAGGGCGAAAGGGGGAAAAGGGCCAAGGTGCCCATTAGCTCGAAGCGTTCCACCTCCCCATCACCGGCCGTGGGCTGGAAGTCCTCAGGGAGGGTCCTCGGAAGGCGGCCAGGTTAACCGTTCGGAAAGCTTCCCAAACGGGACGACCCACGACCCACCACTGGCTGACAGGTGGCAGATCGTAGCAGAAGATCACATCTCTTTTGACGCCCCATCCTTTCCAAGCCGTGGCCACACGGCAAAATGCAAGGCTGCTGTCGTGCTATTGGCATCGGTCATGTGGAAAGCCGCCAGAACCATGAGACTCAGCTGTATATCCGTGGATCCGGTCCTGTCTCATCAACTTGACAATAAGAGACGACTCCAGTCCTGAGAAATCTGAGGCATTCACGGCGAAAACTTGGGAGCCCCTTCACCAGGCGGCACGAGTAATCACGCCTTCTCCAGTAACAGAAACATGTCAAAGACACCAAACCAGCCAAAGTGGCGGCTGCGCGGTTTGCGCGAGCTCCTTTGGCACGCGCGCCTCCTCGAAGCACTCCCGGATCCTCGGGTCAGATCTCTGTCCAAAGCTGGACCGTCGTTCTCGCAAGGCCTACACACCTGGACCGGAGCCAACTGAGTGCTTCTCACGTTGTCACCAGGCAGCTCGCCGTGCGACAGTCCTCCTGAGGGGGCATCCCCGAACAGAGGTCCTTCACGAAGCGGAGGCATCCACCGCGGCAAATGTGTCCTGCTACGACATGGTCCAGACGGCCCGGATATGTCGGCTTTGTCCGTGACCGTGTGGCAACCTTGAAGGTACTGTACGCAGCAGATACCCTTTGCACGTAGGCCTTCTCATGAACCTCATGGGCTGCATGGCATACGACAGCCTGTCACATCAACATGACGCGACACCACCCCACAGTGATCCTAATGGGAGATGGCAGCGCTGTCAGGCCACGGGGCCCAGAGCAATGGGCCCTTTGCTGATTCCACAATGCCATTGACGTGGCACCTGAGAAAACAGAGGTGACACGTCAGGCATCGCAGCATCGCATGAGATGAGTCTGAATAAGGTAGACCTTAGATGAAGGGTTCTTCTGGGAGCCACACCCGAAGCCTCGCACACCCAGAAGAGGCCCAGCGGCTCTCTCCTCCCAGCGGACCGAAGCAGGATCCGCACAAGACTCTCGGCTGGTATAAGCTTTCAGCCCGGGCGCCACCACCAACGCTGGGGCCGCATGGAAAGAGGACTTCACAGGCCATTCCTTAGCAGGAAGTTTATTTTGGCGGAGAGATGCTTGAACGCGGAAGGGCTTCACTGGATACAAGCGAGGCGTCTTCGTTCCTCCAGCCTCGCAACATGGGAACCGTGTCCTGGCAACATTCGGGGATCATTGAAAGAATCACTTGCTCATACAGCTTCCAGCGGCTGCTCGACGACTCAAGCAGCCACTCCTCCATCTTTCTTCTGTGGCATCTAGCACTCAACAGTCGCACTGAAGGGTTTCTCTGACTACATGGACCATCCCTCCTGGGGGCTCACATGGAATAACTTTTGATTCCAACGCAAGCAACAACTTCGGTTAGCAGAGGAAAAAACCGAAAGCAGGAAGACAGGCGCCATACCCAGGTTGTCGCTTGCGTCCGCTTCGTGCCACAACGATGAATTGTTTCCAATAGTCTCCAACGGTAGAGTTTGGGTGGCCTGCGCTCCAACCCGAAACCATGCTGCAAAATAAAGGGCCGTCCTCGGAGTGCGGGCGTAAAGCGTGGCCGGATTTGGGCCGTGACCGCCTGCGCCACCGGCGCCCCCTGCGCCACCCTGCGCCCCCATGCGCCACCCCTGCGCCACCCTGCGCCATCTGCGCCGCCTGCGCCACCCCGCGCCATCTGCGCTGCCTGCGCCGCCTACGCCGTCTGCGCCATCTGCACCCCGCGCCGTGCGCGCCGCCCTGCCTGCGCCACCTTGCGCCACCTGCGCCATCTGCAACTTGCGGCGCCACCATCTGCGGCTTTTTGCACCATCTGCGCCTTCCTGCGCCACCTGCGCCCCCATGCGCCACCCTGCGCCACCCTGCGCCACCCTGCGCCATCTGCGCCGCCTGCGCCACCCCGCGCCATCTGCGCCGCCTATACGCCGTCTGCGCCATCTGCACCCCGCGCCGTGCGCGCCGCCCTGCCTGCGCCACCTTGCGCCACTTGCGCCATCTGCACCTTCCGGCGCCACCATCTGCGGTTTTTTGCACCATCTGCGCCTTCCTGCGCCACCTGCGCCCCCATGCGCCACCCTGCGCCACCTGCGCCATCTGCGCCATGTGCGTCATCGCGCCTTCCTGCGCCACCTGCACCATCTGCGCCTTCCTGCCCTTCCTGCGCCACCCTGCCCGGCTGGCGCCAACACGCCACCTGTGTCTTGAAACTTTGTGTGTGCGCCATTTGCACCTTCTGCGTCAATTGCACCACATGTGGCACATCTGTGATCTGGGTAAAGTGTATATATTGACAATAACAACTATAATAATATATATATATATATATATATATATGTATATGTATATATACAAATACTGGTATGTATGTGCGGTCACGTGTATGTATGTATGTATGTATGTATGTATGCATGTAAGTATGTATGCATGTATGCATGTATGCATGTATGCATGCATGCATGTATGCATGTATGCATGTATGCATGTATGTATGTATGTATGCATAAATATACACATATGTATGTATGTATGTATGTATGTATGTATATATATATATATACATACATACATACATACATACATACATACATACATACATACATACATACATATATGTATTTTATTCAATGCATAATAATGATTCATTTTATACCATGATTTCTATGCTCTGTTCTACATATTCCAGCGGTGCGGGGGGTGCGGGGGGTGCGGGGGTGCGGGGGGTGCGGGGGGTGCGGGGGTGTGGGGGGTGCGGGGGGTGGGGGGGTGCGGTGCGGGGGGTGCGGGGGGGTGGGGGGGGGTGGGGGTGGGTGGGGGGGGGTGCGGGGGGGTGCGGGTGGTGCGGGCGGTGCGGAGGGTGCGGTGCGGAGGGTGCGTGCGGTGCGGAGGGTGCGTGCGGTGCTGGGGGTGCGGGCGGTGCGGGGGGTGCGGGCGCACTTCTGGCCACCATTCGCGCCCGCAATGCGTCCTCGTAGCTCACACTTTCTTGCAACCCCTTTTGCTACCCTAGGCCCTGAGCCCAAACTCGGACTCGGCCCCTGTGTGGCGTCCTCCTCACGGAGTCGCTGCAGCACTTGGGCCACCGCCTGAGCGTCGCTTTCAGGCTTTGGGCCCGCTTAGGGCGACAGTGGAGGATCGAGAATTGGCTTTCAGATGCAACGAGGTGGCAACACGAGCTGGCAGCGCTGAGTGATGCCAGTTGAGCGTTGGACCCCGCCTTGGAACGCGACGGCACGGAGTCACCTGCACGTGTACCAGTGCTAGTGCTAGAGGCCAAAGTGCTTCAAAACATGTGGGGCGAGCAGCGCGGGCCTGCCACGACATCCACAGCCTCTTCCGTGACGCTGAAGACCTCTCTATCGCTCTCCCGTCCATCCTCTTTGCCGCGGCCCAAAGGCCCAAACCCCGGGCCTCAGGGAAACGACTCAGCTCGGTGGCCGCTGCCGGCAGCACGGCACCCAAAGCCTCGCCGGCCACGCGCAAAGGCCTGCGCTGGCGGAGGCATGCGGCTGCTGGCTTTCGTGCCGTGACCCACCGGTGTTTTGCGGTCCCTACAGCCTCGTCTTCTTCATGGCGGCAGCACCATCGCAGCAGTCGGCCACGCGCCGAAGCAGAGCTGAGACAGAGGGAAGGCGCCAGTGATTTAGGGAGGCCGTACGAGCATTCTCCCTTCGTTCAGATGTTTGCCAAATGTCAGGTGTTGCCTGCTGCAACTGTGAGGAGCAACAGAGCTGTGACACAAAACTATACCTTTGCCGGATGATTCTTTTCACCCAAACCCAACGCAACAAGTAATTAGGATTCGACTGCATAACCGGCGAGCTCTATCGCCATACCCAATATCGAAGGCAGAAACCTGGCTCTGCACTCATCGGCATGATGCCCTGTGCCGAGCCCTGGAATTGAAAATAGTTTTTGGAGCCTGGCCTGCAACGCGATGGCTCATGGCACAACAGAGGACGGCTGAAGCACCTCAGGGGTTCAACAAGGTGCTATAGTTCTGCATGTTCTGGTTTGGAAGTTTGGAACTTTTGCTATGCTTGAAGCACTTTCATAATAGCCCTGCACCTCAAACCCGAGAAGCTCCAAAGAGTTCAACACCCAAACCGCATGTTAACAGCGCAGGCTTGCAGATGGGAAATCTCAAAACAGGGGCCACCTGCAAGAGACCAGACTCTACATCTGCACCTAGTCTTCTGCGGGCCTCGGGTCCTCCAAGCATGAGGGCGGCGGCCGCAAAAGGGTGCCGGTCCTTGTGCGGTGCTACAAAAGCCCAACTACAAAGGGGGCCAAAGCGCCACAGAGATGTCGCTTTCCTGCGGCTTCTTTAGATGCACATACTGCACATACGAGTACTGATCTGCCACGCCATACTGCCCTGCAGAAACCCCGGTCCCGGTCCTGGTGATGTGGCACTTCGTGTGGGGGCCACTGCCACTGGCCGTCCCCAGCCAGGCAAGGCAGCCATAAAGCAAAGGGGATATACTAGGCCTAGTCTGCGGTTTGCGATTCCGAGCGATTGTTCTGTTCGTGCTGGGATCCCATTCCCCCGCGGCCCCTAACTTCAGAACTCCGAGCTTCAAGAAACCTATGCGAAAGCTGCGAGCTCCAAGAAGCTGAGCGAGTCATCATGAAGCTTCGCCACGAAAACCATATTGGCAGCAACAGAGCCGAAAGCTGAGTCAGCTGAGCAACACTCCTCACACCATGCCGACTTCAAGGAAACATGCCGAGCTCTGTGCATCGTAGTCAGTCCCCAACACAAGAGGGCGCTCCTGGCTGAGCTTCTAAGACGACAAGTCGCATTCACGCTCGACACTCCGACAGCTGGGATTGTTTGGGGATGGTCTTGGGGATTGTGACCAGCTACTTGACTGCAGACCATTTGTTCAACACTTCCTTGCTCCCGTCCATTACCCTATTTTTCTTGCTGGTGGTATTTAGCACCACACGCGTCCGGACTGACATGGGGCAAGCCGCCAAGCACCTACAAGAAGCTACTTGACCTGCTCACACCCGCCGCAACCAAACACGCAAACCCGAAATTTTTGGAGGCCTCTATGACTGAAACTGAGGACTGCACAAACGTCGGATCGTAGTTGACAGGTTTGTCATAGCCGGTGATTTGCACGGTGGACGAGCCAGGCTGGGCAGGAAAGGCAAAGGCAGCACGCTACGGGCCTGGTCTGCAGCTCGCTACTGCCAAAGCAAGAGCGTGTGCAGTTCTACAGTAGATTGGACAGACTGAGGCCAGCACTGATGTGAAATCACCTCGGATGCATGTGAGCCAACCTCGTGGCGCGTTGAACGGAGGATGAAAAGGCAGTAGATTTCAGCTGTGTGGCTGTAGTAGTTCGTGTCCAGGATCTCCAGGATGGTGGGTGGGTTGAAGTCCTTGCGCACGGCCTGACACCAGACCTGAGATATGTCAGACACGGGATGTCGAGAACTTCGCGACTATCACCAGCAAGTGACCCCCCACAGGATCTGCTGCCGTCCTGGTATGGTAGCTGGTGCATTCCCGGGCTGAGGTCAGGGCGGTGCCCGTTTCGCTCAAACTGCGACAGTGCAGCTCAAATACGAACAACTATACGAAGACATTGGTTTGTTCTAGGGTGGTGACAGAGACGGAGCGAGAGAGAGCGAGAGAGAGAGAGAGGGAAAGACGGGGAGAGAGACAGAGACGGAGAGACAGAGATAAAGACAGAGACATAGAGACAGAGAGCGAGAGGGAGAGGGAGAGACAGGGAGAGAGACCATCTTACACGTCCGCACATAAGACAACAGGTTCAACGCACTGGAGATGCGCCAAGCACACGATGCTGACGCCAAGCCGAAAAGTCTAGTTTCTGACACTCCGGCCCGGTTGCCTCACAGTCACGTTGATGTTCGTCTCGTCGCTCGTGAGGCTGATCTAGGATGGTTCACGGCTTCGGCGGCTTCCGCTTCGGCTTTCGGGGTTCAATCCTCTTGCTCGGAAGTCAGATTTCTGCAAGGCCCGAGCAGTGCGAGCTGCTGTGAGCTCCCAAGATTCGACCGGTGGGGCGCAGGCCGGATTGATGGTCGGCGGCGTCAGGTCGAGCGTCAGAATCTCAAGGGACACATGAGAACAAGGTCTAGTCTGGCGACTAGAGTAACTGTCTCGTGTCGCCACGAGATGGCTTTGAGCTTTCACTCGCAAACATTGCATATGGATGCATGTCTGGAGGGAGGAGGGTGCGTGAGCTCAGCCCCAACGCTTGACGAACCGGCGAGCTCGCCTGTCCCACAGCAGTCATGAAGTCGTCGACAGCCTGGAATGACACCTCGTTGCCATTTCCTGGGATCCATGTAACAACATTGATAGGCCGCAGCCACACATTCTCGGGGCCTCTCGCGATCCACGAGTCTTATGTCAGGCACGCGTGATACGCGTACATCACAAGCTTCTGGGTCACTAATTGCTGCATCCAATGGCTTCGTTAAGGCTGAAGACACGCATCTGCTGCAGCGAGCACAATGCCCTGCTTCAACAGGCTCTTACTGAGATCCGGTCCCACAGTCATGTTGGGCGTCGCAGCGTTCGCCAGCAACCAGTTTGGAGATTTATCAACTGCACGCACGATGCAACTGCTTTCTGACATCGCCGCTACAAGGAGCGACAGTGAAAAACTATGGCACGCTGCTTCAGCCACAGTCTCCAGGACAAGGCTTTTTCGTTTTCTGAAAGACGAATCAAATCAGCAAAACCGACCGGCACGCCTGAGTTCTGAGTTTCCAATTTCCAGTCCTGAGTCACATTTTGCTCCAAAGGATCCTAGGATGCAAAGCGGACCCGCGCCACTTGGAGCCGCACGTCTTCCGCAAAGCAGAAGACGTTGTATGGCCTGAAAGGCAAGGACTGGCACTTGTTACAATAAGCGAGGAGACAACGACGATCAGCGAGGAGGTCGCATGCATTTGCAGTGCCCTAGTTTACTGGTGGCACGCCTGCGCTGCAAAGCCCAAATCCCATAAGATCCCATAGATCTGCCCTGAATCCGTTCGGTGGAAGCTCGGCTGTCCACGACTCGCTCAGGAGCAAGGAGGAAGCGGTTCCAGCCTCATCGGACTTTGTCCACATGTGAGTTCATGGACTGCTGCGAGCTTGGAGGATGTTGAGTACAGCATTGTACCAAAGATGTATTCAAGCAGTGAGTAGAAAGTGTGGGGGTGTCGATGCTCTTGGACGTGGGCATCGTCGTCGACATAGTCCACCTCACAGCCAGAGATTGCTTTCGATGAGACATGCACATGGCACAAGCTTTCTGCAAGCATCCTGCAGCATGCCTCTACATCCACGTTCCGATAGGGCTGGTGGACGTACTGCATGAAAGGCGTATTCCTGGCTGCTGGTGCCAGCTCAGCGACCGAGATGATGCTGCCCCAAGATGTGACACTGAAGGAAGAATCGGCTGGCAAAAGGAACAGTCCCAAACGCAACACTCTCTAGCTGAATCCCATCATCCTAAAGGGACTCCATTAAGGCAAGGGAAGTATGAGGCAACTAGCGGCAACTGGCAGCGCGAGGTACAGGGAGAAGTTAGTCCCTGGGTTTGGCGTCTAAGGGAACACAGGGTTGTGAAAGATCCACTTAGGAGAATGAAGCTCAGCGCCCAACGCCCCCCTGATCTTCGTAATGTAGTTTCCAGCCTCGGGAAGAAAGCCAGCAGTCTCAGCTGCTACACTGTGCCGGTACGGAGACTCTCTGGTGCATGCTGATCGGATCAAGCCCTTCGCCCACAGAATGTCCTGAAGCGGCTTCAGCGACACACAGCCCCCGACGTCCACATCCAGAACGTCCAGATTGGCATCGGCTGTAGGCAGAACCGGCTGGCACCATACAGTTCCGGGCCTCGGACCAAAGAAGATCCAGGCTTCACTGAGCACATGGTACTGAGCATCGTCTCTGCGTATTGTAAGCATTTTTGAAGGAGGTTGACGGTGCGCTGACGGTTCTAAGCATTGTTCTAAGCAGTGGGGGGGCGCAGCTTGGCGGGGCTCCGCTGCGACCAGAGGTCAGGCTGTGATGTGTCTTGGACTGTTGGGAATGGTTGCAGCGGGCCGGTCTCGGGGCGGACGCCGCTAACTTACTTGGGTCGCACCCCCCGTTGCGTCCAGTCCCGTATCGAAATCAAGAGCCGTGCTCGTCCAGCTGAAGCGTGATCTGGAGCTTGCTGTCTGTGATGGCCTGGACGGCTGCACTGCTGCTAAAATGCACTGATATCTCTGTCGAACATTGACCGCCGAATTTCAGTTCGGATGCCCATCCAAGCAAAGACCCAAGTGAGTTTGAGCCGCAAACATCGACTACAACCAAGTCAAGAAATAGTCGCGAAACATGCCCTCTCTGCCTCGGAGGTCACGTAAATAAGCGTGGGCGGTGTGGTGTCCTTGAGCCAGACGTAGCCTTGGACAAGCTCCCGTAGAGTCTCCCCAATCAGGAAAGCTGTTTCTGGCTTCAGCAGGCCGGTGGACACCGTGGCTGCGGGAGTAGCTTGGGGCCTCGCGTGTGCGTCCTCCGGCTGGTGCGGTCATGAAGTTGGCTCCCACGTCGGTGTCCACATAGCTCTGGCGGCAAATGGAGCACTCGAGACGCATGAGGGACTTGCGCCAGCGAGAAATGGCAGGATCATGTCAGGACTCGGCAGCAATCTGTACGGCTTGCCGTAGCGACCAGCGGAGGCTCAGAGATGCCGCCTGTGTCATGTAGTTGGGGCGCGGATGCCCGTACGTGTCGACCGCGCTGTCCTGAATCGAGCCGGGCGACAGAGGACTGTTGCCCACGTCTTTCCGAAAAGGTTCTGCTGGCAACGTCGAACCATCTAAAATGTGTCAGCAGGCGACAAATCATCGGTCAGCACTGAAACAATGCCACACACTGAATGTGCTCACCATTCCGACCTTTACACATACACAGCAGGCAATGTCCATTTCTCTCTCTTCGAGCACAGGACAGACCGGACGGAACTCGATTGCTCCTTCGCCCAGCAGTACACGTCGTACTGGTTGCCTTCGTACAGGCCTTGCCTGGGTAGGAAATCAAGTTCAGGCAGTCCGTGGGGGAACTTCTGGGTTAAGGGCCTGGTAGCAGGTCCCTCTCGCAGCTGAGGCCATCTTTTCTACACTGCAGCCGCAGGCACGTGTCGCTCGCCTCAATCTTATCAATGGTGATGTCATTGTCGATGTTGGGGCCTCTTCAGATCGTCAGCAAAACGCGTGGGTGTGTGTGTGAGAGAGAGAGAGAACGAACAAACTAAAGCTTACACAGCGCCGCACCGTGTCACCGAAACCCACATATTCTGCATCAGAACGGCAGCACGAAAGCAATCGAATCGAGCCTGCCACGACAGCTGCAAAGTTGGCCGACAGAATCTGGTTGATTCGCAGCGTCGTCTCTCCTGCAAAGTGCGACTGGATCGACTTCTTCACCATCATCAACTCACGCGAGATCTACGTCGCCTTCCCTCCCCCTAGGTGGAGGCGGTCCTGAGTTCGAGAGTGTGACGCGGCAGTAGGCTGTGCCCGCCTCATTGAGTGCGAAGGTGACCTGAGGCCGTCTGTTGACATGATCAAGGACTGGATTCGTGATCGTAAGCAACGGTCTCCGAGCAGTGCCTTCTGTCAAGAATAGGACCGGCCCGGTTCTCACGACTGCAAGAACCAAGTAACGTCATGATTTTCATGATGCTTCTAATTGACAGGCATAGCCACAAGTTCTGTGACTGCGGCAAGCCAGGTCATCGGGATGAATGTCGCTACATGATCTGAAACAACCAATTGTGATCAATTGTGCCTGTGATAAAATGTCGTGAGGAAGTCTTGCCATGACCCTTAAACCCTCCCGTAATTGAAACAAGTAAGGTTTACATAAGCCCACCACTGCTGTCAAGAACTTCCGCTATCCTTGCTGGACCAGCCCGTCGCGCCCCTTAACTGAGAACACGGTCTCCTGACTGAAGCCAAGGTTCCACGATCTCGTCGTTCGTTGCGGTTGGATCTGTGATGGCCAACTTCGTGAAGCTTGGCGGCGTCTCCTCAAAAATTGGACTGCATGGGGAACCCTTGCTGCAGCTTCGCAGACAAGAAAAGCACGCACAGGCACACACTCATGTGTGCGTGGCCATATTCCTGGGCATACAGAAGTATACATGGTTGTCCGTCCGTCCGTGCGTCTGTCCGTCCCTCCGTCCCTCCGTGTGTATCTCTGATCGTCCACAACCCTATCCCTCACAAGGTTGACAGTTCTTGGGAACCCTGGCATAGAAGGTCAAAAGATTTCAGATGTCTCAGGACACACTCGGACTCTGCGGGATAGGCAGGAGAAGATCTGGAGCACAGGCTTGAGATGACTTCGGCCAAGAATCACGCATGCACCACTCCGTGCCACTGCAAAACATACAGGAAAAGGAATGTATGTCTGGCTGTATGTATGAATGTATGTCTGTGCGCGTGCATGTACGGATGATTGCCGATAGCTCCTGGCTAGGTAGATAGACAGGTATGACAGATATACAGACTGTGCGTGCGGATCAGTAGCTGCTGGTGCATACGCATGGTGCGTTCACTAGAAGTGTACATGTGATTGTAAATGCATGCTCTGCACCTGTTCCTAGAGCGGTTGCAACAAAATCTTCGAGAGAGCAAGCGAGGAAGGGAGGGAGGGAGGGAGGCACGGCGAGAGAGGGAGAGAGGCAGAGAGAGAGAGAGTGAGAGAGAGAGAGAGAGAGAGACAGACAGAGAGAGACAGAGAGAAAGAGACAGAGAGAGACAGAGAGAGAGAGACAGAGAGAGAGAGAGAGACAGAGAGAGAGAGAGAGAGACACAGAGAGTGAGAGTGAGAGTGAGAGTGAGCATGAGAGTGCGAGTGAGAGTGACAGCAAGAGCGAGAGTGAGAGGAAGAGTGTCGCAGAGGAGAAGGAGAAGCTTCATTCAATGATGTTGGATGTGTGGCCCCTACTGTAGAATAGCGGGCGAGGCATGACGGATGGCAGTCTTGTAATCACAGGCCGGATACGTGACAGGGATGACGGGAGAATAAACTCCTGCGACGAGTGAGCAAGTGTGAGATGAGTGCACGGACCAACTGCTGGAAAAGTTTGATGCGTGGCATCCCACCAAAAGCTACGGGTGGAGCACGAGGGACAGGCATGCTGACGGATTCGAGACAACTTCAGAAGATGGGCAGGGAAGGAAATTTACAATTGAGAAGTGTATGCGGAAGCTAGCTTTGCGGCAAGAACGAAAGAGCAAGAAATGGAAGCGGACTGATGTACGCCTGATGCATGGCAGGGGCTGGTTGGAGAGCGCCAGCACCCACAGCGGATAACGGTTGCAACAGCAATAGAAGGAGTGCTAGAAGCGGTACCGCTTGGGAGACAGTTGTACTGCCTATCACTACCGGAAAGCCTGCCGGCCACTTGGCAAAAAAAGACGATAGACAGGGGTTTATCAACACTACCCTGCGCTTCAAAACGGGCCCGTTCTCATTTTGTGAATCCGATAGCAAACGCAAGCACCTTCTGCTCTGAGGACAGAACGTCAAGTGTCTGAATAGTGCCAATCTCAGTCCACATAGTGTACACGTTCCTGCGGCAGGGCCGGACATCCCTTGGGACTCCTCTGCCGAGCTTGACCCGGACAAGGTCGCACCTCGGCCCGGACATCCCAACGTTGTCGAAGATCATCGCATTGGGTGTCAGTTCGTCGTCCTCTCGCTACACGGAAGAGCTCCAAAGCTGGCTGGGACATTGCATTTAATCCGGGCCTCGGCGAAGCAGTATATGTAGGGATAGTCTGTCTCTTCAGTGAGGCCACTGACGATGATGTCGACATCTCGGTTGTACTTCCAAGTTGTGGCCTCCAAGCGCAGGAGTAGCAAGCGGATGTGGTGTCACACCCAGAAGTGTTAAGCCTGTCTGCCGGACCGTGCCGCTAAAACACTGAGCAACGTAACGCTTTGATCTCCCCTCTCCCCTTGCTTCCGACCTCGTACTCTGCACGTGTGGTGACGCCGTCTGCGGCATTGATCACATCGACAATGTCATCCTTAACGGCTTGGCAGAAGGTGACCTAACAGCCTACGCACAGAGAAAATGCTGTCGCACTTCACACGGTCATGCACATCGCTGCGGGTGCTTTGCAAGCCAGATCCGGCTGACCTGTGAGAGCGAACATGTAGTGCAACTCCCCAAACCCCCAACGGCAAGCAATCCCGTCAACGTGCTGCATGCCAAACAGTAGATTCATGTTCCAAGGCCCAGGTCTGCAAACTAACAGGTTGATAGCCCATGAAACACCGTCGCCAGTGCCGCCAAAGCATCCATGTCGTAGATCCAGAAGGTCCCACATTGATTACCGAAGCTGTCTGCGCCTTAGTTGCCGGAGAATGCACCGGGTGCACGAAGGCAAATCGCATGCAGCGCTCCAATGACTTACAGAGCAACTGACGCTTAATCAAGTCCAGTCGCAATCCGAAGCCCTGGCCTTGATCTTCGTTTCGTAGTCCTGCGGCAGAGACAGCAAACACCCCCACTACTCTCCTTGTAAATACCCGAACATCTGAAGGAGCAAATTCTCCTGGCCCGCAGCCACCAAAGCCGGATCCGTGTCCCAGGCCGCGCACCACACTTTGGCACCCTCGTCCACCTGGCACAGACACTACGACCTCTGTGGCCGAACAGGAGACTCTACACGCCTGCAGAGTGATGATGATCTGGTCGTGTGCGATAGACTCAGCTGCAATGAACCTGGCGGCCGGGAACACGGAGCTGTGATGGTAAAAGCAAGACACGCTGGCATACTAGACACTGTGGGAGTAGTTGGGGCAGTGAATTGCATGCTCTTCGCACAGCATTCGATTAGTCTATTGAGTCTATTGAAAAAGGACCGTTGCAAATCTGCTCTCTGCTTATCGAAGCCTCATCTGCGGAGGTGTGAGGTCCAGCGTGCGGACCTTCAGCTCCACAGCTGATGTGCCTGAGAGACGAAGCAGGGCAATCCAAGCTCGGCAGCTCAGCACTCCCATGCGCTCCCTCACCAGGTCAAGCCGGAGCTACTCACGTAGTTGAAGGACACGCCATTCGTCACTTTGCAGCCGTTACAGAGGTCATCGTCGGCATAGCAGTAGATGTCGTAGTAGGTGCCAAGCCTCAGCACAGCACGCACAAAGAGTATCGGTGGGCTGCAGGCCTCTGTGCCGAAACCATGGCTCCGAGGTCCGAACTGCAGCGGGGTCATGTAGGTGGGGTCCCAGTTCCTACCAACCAGGCAGCGTCCCCACCACGTGCCGGAATAAGCCCGAGGATCCCACAACCCGAATACAGTGCTTTCTCGCTTCGCACCTCGGGCGGTCGTAGCCCAATATCTCGACGTCGACCGGCACCGTAGTAGGGCCTGGGCTGTACCGATGCCCGCAAAACGGTGGTGCTTGTGGGGCTGCTCGCTTGAACCCATGCTGCGACGGGCGGCTCACATGGACATACTCCGAGGTGAAGTTGCTGTCCAGGATCTCCAGGATGGTCGGCACCTGTTTCTCGAAATCTGGCAGCAGCGTAGCATAAAGGCCGCCACTAGCTTGTTAAAAGCATCACCCCAGACTGGGGCCACTGCGTTGAAGCCATGCCGGACCGCCTAGCCACCAGTGGCCAGGGGGGAGCGCAAGCTCTTATCGAGATGCTGCAAACTCGATCGCTAAATCTTAAATAGCAGGTCAGGCTCTCCAATCAGCAGGCTAGCGACAAACCTTTGAAAAGCCGTTCTGCAGGTGCCGCACCTGGCACCAGGCCGTCCCTGTCTCGCTAAGCTCCAGGTTCACGGTGATCGTCGTCTCTGTCGTCGACACCTGCGTAGCCGGATGGGCAGAGACGGATGAGAGCCTGAAATCTCCCGAAATCTGCGCGGCTACATCTCATGGATCTGCATCCGCGCATTCAACCGTTTCCAGCCCAGCGGCACTATTAATCTGGATTGTCGGCGGCGTCAGGTCAAGGGTGATGACTTCACCAACCTTGCGTCAGGCTTGACTTCAGCCATCACTCCAAGACTGGCTTCAGCAGTCGCCACGAAGCCCAGGTTATGTTTCGGGGCATAAAAAAAACCTTGAGTCCAAGCTGCTGCAGAAGAGAAGTCCAGTACATCCTGGTAGACCACCTGAGCGGCGAACAGTGCCCAAGAGCATCCAGGCCGGAGTATGAGCAGGCTGCTTAGCAAAAGCTGGAATTCCATCCCACAACCTTAGCACGCCGACCAAAGCCATGCATAACTTCCCCCTATGCGAGGAAGCAGCCTCGTTTGGTGCGCCCACGTTTCCAGACTGGAAGTTGATGGACTGCTGTGCCGCCCCAGTCGCCTGGCACGTCACACGTGACACTGAGGGCTTCGGCAGTTTCAGGGGATTCGGGCGGAAGATTCAGGCCCACGCTGATGAGCCAGGCCGTTGAAGGCCAGAGGTTGAGAACGAGCTTTACACTTGCACTGCTCTCGGACACTTGGCTTCCACAGCAGATGGCTTATGACAGTGCGAACCCCAATCCTCGCAGCTCTAATGTGTTTGGCGGCCTCGAAATCCCAGTCGTCGGAAGCGAAACAGAAGATGTTGTAGGGCGATTCGGCAGCCAGATATGCCGCCTTGGTATGATGCAGATAAGGCTGTCTGTCTGTGGGGAATATGCTCTCGAACAGCCGGGTGTGTACTCAGGCACCATGTTCGCGGGAGGAAGCATGCAACGACATTCACAGATCTACAATCAGGCAGGCAGTGCCCCTAGATTGTAAGACAGCAACACGTCATAGCCAAACTGCACAAGGCCAACTGGTTGAAAAGGGGGACCCAACTATCGGCCACACCAGAAGCCATAATCCCCATCCTTCTTATGATCCGAGGTGCTCCCGCAGCATCATCCCTGGGCACGGTGACAGAGGGCTGGCTTCTCACGACTACCCTCTGTAGGCCATAGTAGGCGGATGTATGCAGACCCAACATGTGTGGAAGACCATCTCCAAGCTCCTCTTGGCGCAGTGTCGCGCCTGACAACTCTGTCGACCTCGACATCGATGTTGGTGTAAGCGGTGGGCACATACTGGAGGAATGATACAGGGCTGCTGGCTCCTGTGATCTTGTCCTCGTCAACAGGTATACTTTGTTTGTTCGTGTGAGGTGCCCTAGTGGGAGCCTCCATGAACCATGTCCCTTGCGAAAGTCCTTGAAGTTTCCGCTGGCGATGTCTGCTGTGTCCACATATGTGCCATCGACTGCTGGCAGAGTTGGCATGCACCAAACTGTGCCTGCAGGCTGGCAGTGTGTCAGATCAAGGCATTAAAAGCGGACCACCCTGTGATGCACCAGGCCATGCTTCACAACTCAACTGCTGCAGAAACTACTACCAGGAGCGACTCCCTCCTGCTAAAGCCATACGGGCGAAGTGTTGCATCTCGATGGAAACAACGTCATCCTGCTACTATGAAACGTGCGCCTGGCTCGTTGAGTTGAAGGGTAATTTGGATCGTGTCCTCAGAGAGCGCCTCTGAGGAGACATAGATCCTTGGAGTCTTTGGAAGCTGGGAACGGCCTGGCAAAAGCTTTCTCCCTGCCAAGCCCGAGCTGCATTGACGGTGGCGTCTTGTCTTTCACCCAGACGTACTGCGTCTTGCCCCCACTGGGCGAGGTCAGCGCATGGGCCAGGGTCGTGCCCACCGGCGTGTTCACGTAAGTCTCGCACAGGGCAAGCAGAACGCATCAGATCAAACTGGGACAGTCGCACGAAAGTCTTCCCGGCCTGTGTCATGTAGTTCGGCCTTGGTAGACCCTGCGTATTCACCGCAGAATCCATGGCCCAACAGTACACGTCGTACTGCGAGGCCTCCAAGAGCACTAACGACATGTATTCGCAATTCGCACAGTCACTATCGTATAGTTCTCCTGACTTCGGGCTCTGAGACACTCGCGGACATGCACCTATTCTATGCAGTGATTGAGAATCTTTCAGCGGCAACGAGCTGCGACCTCTTGCCTCGTAGAGAGTCTGCGTGTCCGAAGACTCGAGCTTATCGATTGTGATCGTACCCTCGGGACTTGCAAGTGCCATGATCATGACACAATGCACTTTATCTTCTTGAGAAACGTTTTCTAGTTGCTGTCTAAAGCTCGACGATGGCGCCAGCGCCCACGCTCTGGTAGTAGTTGGCAGACAAGATCCGATTGATCCTGGAGGCTTGCCAAATTGTCGGGCTCTCGAGGCTGGGCCCTTCAGTCCACCCGGCTGCTTTCCGGCTGAGTGCTGCGCTGGAGGTCGGTCTCGCCAGAATCGCTCCGTGTCGTTCGGCAGTAGGCGGTTCCCGCCTGTGAACTCAGACGCCACTCGCTCCGCCCAGGGCCCAGCCGAAGGCGCCTCGTTGAGAGAGAACGTGACCACGAGTCGGTCGTTGTCGTCAGTGGGGTCCTGGGGCACACAGTATACGGCGATGAGTTGACGAGGGAGCAGGGGACTGTGCGGTGAGGCGCGGGGGGAACGGGCAGAGGCGGTTTTTCGTTGTTTGGACCGATTTCCAGTCAAGCCGGAGCGGGGAGAGGCTCATCACAACAAGGCTCTCCATGTCTATGTTCCAGCAAACCGGGCTTTAAGCTGTTCGCACCTTTGGCCTCCACCTGACTGGCCGCGGGTTGCAGCACAGCCGTGATCACAATTCTGTTTGGTTGAGAGCACGAAGATTTGTCATCGTAGATCCTCGTAAAGAGTGCGAAGCAGTATCTTTGGTAGGAGTAATTTCATCCTGGTTGCCTTGATGGAGAGCTGTGTGAACTCCGGCGGTGTCTCGTCGAGGGTCCTTGTGTCCGGAAACTCCAATGCCATAAACCGCATCATGGTCTTCCAGCTTGCAGCTACATGTCTGCGATGGCTACCATAGCACTCAAGAGTCGAACTCGCTGTCTGTTTAGCGATATCTGCTATGGGCCAGTCCACAGTGTCACACGCTAAGTGTGCTGCAGACATGTCGCTACTGGAGGATTGGTGGATGCTTCTGCTGTTAAGTTGGAAGTGGCAGGCAGCGCGCGGATGTGCCGAGTTTCTGAACAGTGCCGGTGCCGGCCCAGATGGTGTGGACGTTGTCGGGCCCGGCAGTGCCCTTGGTCATGTGATGCTGGCATGTACTACTTTCGGAGACATCTGCCACAAAGACATGATACAGCACATGACCCCTTTCCGGGCCGTGCATTGTCGCATGCTTAGGCTAGGCGTGGCTGGGCATACCACAGCCTTGCAAAAACTCCTGAACGTCGGTGGGCAGATAGGTGGGGCTTTTGCTCTGCTGTCATCTTGTCATTGCACAGGCTGCGACACGTCAAATCCCTTCTGTCCAAACCTGTGACAAGGATCTGCAGCTTCAACTCCGAAACGAGTCCAACCTTCTCAATGCCATTCCCGATTTCTTCCCCAATGCACCCCCCATCTGACGGGCACGGATGTCTGAAAGCAAAGCTGGCTCGCCCCTGGCCCTGTTAATGTTTCCTGCAAGCGGCGACGTCGTCCCACCTCATGACGTTCGGGCTGCTGCCGGGCCCGCTGCTCCCTCCGTCCGTCTCATCCTCGGCGGAGAAGCAGCCAGTGCCCACAGCAGGGGAAACCGATTCCCGAGCGCCAGGCATCTTCGGCGTAGCAGTAGATGAATGGATAGTCAGTCTCTTCAGTGAGGCCGCTCACGATAATGTCGAAGTCCTGACAGTCGTGACAGATTGGCGTGGACATTACGTCAGGCAAGCAATTTCGAAGACACAGACGGGAGAGTCATGGAAACACCAGGGCCGGAGTCGGGAAAATCGAGCGGAAGCAGGAAGAAGGTCGGCATTGACATGATGGAAAAAGATGGTCTGCCGAGGTTCGCGCGGATCCGAACCCTAGCCCGTATGTGGGATTCCTTCAAGACGACTCGGGGCTGTTAATTGAATTTGGGGGCTGATTGGGCAGCATCCGTCGCGAGATCCGGAGCATTCTGTCTTGAAGGGCGTCTGCGCTGTTCTCTGAAGAAGCCAAGAGCGCCTGGTTGAATCTCCAGTTGTCCAGGCTCTCGTACTCGGCTTGGGTCGAGACACCGTCAGCTGTCGTGTCTTCGAGGTCGTCAAGATCCTAATCGTGCGGCAACAAGATCTGGGAGCGGCTGATTTGATTCATGCACACTTGTCTCCGCACGGCCTTCAACCCAATCCCACCAAAACATGTTCACAGCTAGGGTGCATAAATCCAGAAGGTGCCACACTGGCGGCCTGCAGCTTGTACTGAACGCCACAGGCTCTCACGGAGCACACGCAGCACCGACAGACAACTCCACGACTCGCCAAAACCCAGTGACCATGCCTTTGCTGTCGTGGCAAGTGCTCTGCTGACCCTTGATCATGGCAACGTAGTTTCCCGAGGTCAAACCTGGCAACATCCAGGGCTTAGCAGCTGGAATTCTTTAAGTTCCTTATGAAGCCAATGACTCCATCCCGGCCCGGAGTTCGTGATGGATATCGAACTTCACTCAAAGTTGAATGCAGCAGGGCTCTCGCCACCTGGATCGCTCGCCCAAGCGGCGCACCACACCTGGGAGGGGAAAGAGAGACAAAGAGCGAGAGCGAGAGCGAAAGAAAGACGGATGCAGGTTCGCACTTGTTGACTGTCCGTGCTAGTCACTCGAGTTTCTGGGCAGATAGAGCGAGGCATTTTCGCCTTCGGCCCCTTACAAACTGTGCCGTGTGAACACTTGCCTGTAGTCCTTACGCATCAAAAAGTTTCGGCAGGCCCTGATTTAGGCACGAACGAAGATTAGGAAAAGCAGGAATTTCCTGTGACGATGCCTCTTGCCTAGAATAAGCAACATCCCAGTCCTTTCAAAATCATCTGGCGAATGCACCAGAAAAGTCGTTTCACACCAAGGCCGACACCATCGCTCCCTCGTCCACCTCGCTTTCAGGGAACCGTGAATCTGACGGTACTTGCCCAAGAAACCTTTCCTCTGCACGCATCCCCTTGCCAGCCTGCAGCGTGATGATGATCTGGCTTGCAGATATGGACTCGGCCATAATGAACCGCATATTCGGGCGAGTGAGGTCCAACGTGGTCACAAAGTTGTTGGGACACGCCTACGACCGCTCTGGACTGCCCCAGGATTACGCTTCTCATGCTGCAAGCACTTGTGATGGTGTGCCTCGGCTGCAGCCATTCCGTTCGGCCCATAGTACGGGTAGCCCTCCGCATCCTGATATGATTTACCACACCGTCTGCACTGCAAGAATTCATTCCTTTTGGGCTTGTCCCGGCCCACACTCAAGAGCCGACCTGCGCCCAGCAGTAGACGTCGTAGTCCCACTTCCGGTTCAGGGGCTCCAGGCCTTGGCAGTTATGTGACCAGGCTTTGCAAAAGCACCGACTCAGACACAGCTTGATTCACATCCACCGAACATGTGGGCATGTGTAAGCCGAGTCAAACGCCAGTCGCCCCCAGTCCCGTCGTGATCTGGTTCACAATGATCGTGAAAGGTGAAGTCGTCGAGACATCCATATAAAAGCCTCCCAACAAGGCCACTCATGCTCTCCACCCGTGGCAGGCTGGAAGTATTCAACATGTTCCTCGCGTCCGGCCTTCAGCAATGACGGCATTTGGAGTGGGTGGGTCGAAGCCTTTGTTTACCACCTGACGCAACATTCAATCGCCTGGAATTGGGGCTCGTATCATGATGTGCTTCAAGCCAGAAACCTGCCTTGCAGTAAGCACGTCCGGCTTCGTTCATACTGAGGGTAACAGTAATGCTGTCCTGGCTCCGAGGCATCTTGTTCCGGCCACTGTACAAGAGCCCTACAGACCAAGGCAGAAACTCCGAGTGAGAGTGAGAGAAGGGCTGAAGTTGAATTGCTGCAAGAGGGATCCTCCGTAGCGGGAGTTTCAGCGCAGGCAAACGTGCCAAAACTCGGAGGGGTGGTGTCCAGTGTCCTGACCTCGGTTACAGCTGAAAACACCAGCCGTCGAGCAACTGCCTGGCACGGCTCTAACATGCGAGAAGAGTCCACAAACAGTCCGCTGTCTGGACTGCAGGTTCTACTTGCTATCGCTTTGTTTTGCATCTCAGCTCGTCGCGCTCCGCTCTGTTGCCAGCATCTGCGAGGAGGTGACCACGTTGTTCGTTGGGATCTCATCGTCGTGCGAGTAGCAGTACACCTGTAGCACAGCAGCGCCGTCTGCAAAGCACCAGTAACTCAAGCTGGGAGCTGTGGATTCCCGAATCTGGACACGAGTGCCCAAGCCCACGGCCCAGTAGAAGGTCTTGGCCACAAGTCCCGTGATGTCCACCTTCACAGGTAGACAGGTAGACACAGCTGGCATTTGAACCCTGACATGAGATGCGTGGTTCCATTGCGTCTGTCCGTGCAGGCAATCTGATTGAGAGTCAGATGTTGGCAGACAGCAAAATGGCCTCATGCTCTGCAAAGCCCTTGACGGTGTCGTACGTGGAGCCGCCAACGAAGTTAGTTCCTGGCCAAGTCTAACGTCAATTGTATGCTGCTCGCATTCCTTCCCTCGGTACCAACATGACGAAGCAAGACTCGACAGTGTGATTTGCCATATTGAACTAGGGGTGCGGGACTCGGATGCGCTATGAGGTGGGAAGACATGGCTCAAGCTTCGCCTTGCTGCATCCAATCCTAGTCCTAGTGAACTTCACCGACCAAAGGGAGGTGAAAGACGGCTTTCGGGCTCGCTCGGGTCTTGGAAAGACGGTTCAATGAGCACTTGATGAACACGCACATGCTGTTCCACGCTGAAGTGGCTTCAGGGAGGAGTCCGGGTCCTGAGCCGGTGTTTATTTCGTAGGTGCAGGCCGCGCAGTCGGTCAGGGTCGGGACATCCGTGCCGCCCTGAAACAGCTGAACGGGCACAGCTTTCCAAGCGTTCAGGGCTAGAAAGCATCACAGGACATGGGCATGCGAACACGTCCTGCGAAACAGGAGTGAAGACCCCACTGTCATAGGCGCGACAGTACCTGGGTTTCTTGCACATGAGTTCGCAACGAGAGCATGCACCAAAGTCTCCAATTCCTCGGCCGAGTCACGTCGTGCCAGACTCGTCAAGGCGGAGGGTGACCCGGATGACGTTCTCGGTGATGCCATACCTGCACCGAGGCCGCCGAGGCCGCCGGGGCCGCCGTGGCCGCCGGGGGGGCCGAGGCCGAAGACGTGGCTCAGCATGCGCCCCGCTTGCGCCGCTACGCTCTCAAGCGAGTCAAAGTCAAGCGGCATGCTGACGACCGTGATCTGCGGCGGCGTCAAGTCCTCAGCGCAACGCATTCCAGTTCTCTGGAAAAGAGAAGTCTTGTCTGGTTTGGGAGAGGAGCTGGTAGCAGGAGCTCCCGAGCGTGAACGACTGGAACGGCCATCCACCCAGTCACCCCACACACAACTGAAGGCAAGGCCACTTTAAGCAACAAAAGCGGTGCGCTCAGAGCTCGGCCGAGCCCACCCCGAATTCAACCAAACTCCGAACCCGGCGAGGCCCAGACAGCAGGCTTCAGGGTGAAGCGATAGTCAGACCTTGGTTAGTGGTAGACATGCTTAACGAGCAGTGGCGATGGCTTGCATAAGCCGTATGAGTGAAGATGAACTAACTAACTAAAGCGTAAAGGCTTCATGCAAGGACCGCAAGTTGCAGTTTGTTTCCGCCGACCCTTCAAAATCAACCCAGTTCAAGACTGCCTTTTTCGAACGCATCTCGGCAATTCGAGCGGATCAAACGGCGGCGTGAGAGCTTGGCTAAAGCTCTTTGCGAAGAAGCCAGACGTTCATGCGCAAACCGCTCAGACTGATAGTTTGGCCATTCAGGCACTCTCCTGTTCAAACTTTTTGTGAGTCTCTGCACCAGGTAATCGAGGAACCTCGAGTCTCCTTTCTCATTCTAGACCACAGCCCCAGAAAAGCAACAGCGTAGCTTCGAGCCATCTTCACCTATTAAGTTTCTGCTGGCATAATCTTGAAGCTGAATCCCTCCTGGTGCAAACAGAAGTGCAAACTCGTAGCTGGCACTGTTCAGTGTGTTTGCCGACTATATCTTGACATTCTTCCTGCTTTTGATAGGAGCAGCTTGCTCGCCTGCTGCCCTCGGGATGTTCGGGATGTTCGGGGCTGCCAAGTGGAGCGGCTCGTCACGACTGCATGCTTGACAGTCATTTCCAGTACGATGATTCGGGGTCCAGCATGTTTTGTTTTGTGCGGCCCTATGATCCTCCCAGCTGTGCACCTAAAGGCAATCAAAAGGAACCACTTGGCATCCCAGATGTCTCTCATAGCGCCGAGGCCGCCCCGGCCTCCGACATCAGAGCTCAGGATTGAGCTGAAGATGGCTGAAAGGCTTCATCAGAATTCTCGAATCGACTCCCACCATGGAATTGCAGATTTCCTGATACTCTTTGCATGGATGCCGGGTTCGCAGGGACTTCACTGCTGGGGTCCTCTGTTGCTTGGCACTTAAACTGGTCCGCATGCATCAGATAGCTGACATGAACGGCCCACTAGACGCTGAACCTGACACACACACAGACACACAGACACATACACACCGACCCACCTCACTGAGTCTGGTCGGCGCCAAGAGAACCATGGTTGCTGTTTCCTGGCGCAAGCTCCAATCGCAAAACAAAACAGATACCAGATCTTCTTCGGAACAGTTGAAAAGTTTCAACTTTGGGGCCGAAGATGCTGGGCACAAACTGGCCTGCGACTGACCAATTCATGAGCGCTCAAGCACCTGCCACGGTCTTGGCTAGTCTTCCCTCTGTGCATCCAACTCCGGACATGAGGCCTTTTCCCTCCGACTCGGGCATGGGCAGCGGAGCTCCCCAACGGGTCCTTGAAGCGACAGTCTCACTGCATGCATATCGCATGATTCTGCAACATCGGAATCGCAGCGACGCACGCAAGAACGTGTCCTGAACTCCTTGCTGCGCTTGGAGTTGGACGGGTAGGGATAGGCGCGACCGGCGAAGCGCCTTCCACACAACTCTGTCTAAATCGGAGCTAAAGCCCTTGAGAGGGAAAGATCCTGCCTGCTCGAGAGGTTCAAATTCCTCGGCGAGACCAGCGCGAAGATGTCCTTGGCGTAGCGCTTCCTCTCCTGGCAGGTTGTGCGGAGCTGACGTAGCATCAATTCGCTAGAATAACTCTGCAACTCGAAACAAAATAGCATCGCAGAAGAACCACTCGCAAAAGAACCACCAGAGACTTCTTTGAGATGCGGTTAGAGTCGGTTAGAGACGAGGCTCAGAAGCGGTGGCCCTGGCTGCGCTCTTGATGTTGTTGCCTCAGCGGGTTGCCAGATGAGCCGGAGCAGATGGCAGAAGTGTCCCATCATTTGGGTTGACTGGCAAGGCACAGGAATGCAGCACCATCCCCTGCGAAGCCATGTCTTTCCTTCTCTATCTTGCACGCAGATCTGTGTTTGCTGACCAGCCACTTTCCTGTGTGACCTGCAGATTTCCGACTGTCGCCTTCCTCGGCTCAACAATTCTTTAGTCTGGCAACAGGCGGCTCTCCTGAAAGCCATGTGTCTATGTCTATGTGAAGTCCAAAACCCACACTGAAGGGCAGAGGAAGTGTCTCCATCCGGATATCTACTGCCATCATCAACTTTGCGAGGGAGTTGCGATCCTCGCGGCCAGGTCTGAGGCTTGAGATTAAGAACAACAGGTAGTCACACAATGACAGAAACAAAACTTCAATCTCCCCAGCACCATGTAGGTTTACAGGAGCTACACCCGCAGCCCCCAGTCCTCGATCTGCGAGGGGTTCAACACCTCCGATTCCATGCACATCATGGGACATAGTCAGGTTGCGACAGCTGCAATCTAGCCCTGCCACGTCTGCAGCTGGGCGGCCCAAGTCGTGGATCCATCAGCAAGCTTCTCGGTGACAATCACGTTGGACGCGGTCTCCAGGACGACGTAGAAGTGGCAGAGGTGCAGCTGCTTCTCGCACTCCTGGCATTGGAGTATTCTCCGAGCGTTCAAGGCTTCCAAGCGCCTGTTGGCATCGCCGCCAAACATCTTCTGTTCTGCAGAGCACAAACGACTAAATCAGGCTCGATCTTACGCCTTAGGCCTGAGACCCACATGGCCCACAGATGTGCCAATTGCAGAAGTTCGAAGTGCAGATCGGCTCCCTGTGCTCGCCATCGATGGCTTCGACATAGAGGCGGCCTGTCAGGTTCGAGTCCACGCTTGGGCCGCACCTCTTTGGAGCCAAGCCGGGGCACGCGGGGCACGCGCCTTTCACGAACTTCTCCTCCGGTGAGACTTTTTGCAGCCTGCCTCCGGAAACTAAGAGCGATCAGGAATGAGAGCTTCCAAGAGCAGTGCCGCCAAGCTGGCACCTCGGGCACCCTCCAAGCAAGGCGGCCTGCAGGCTGACAAGTGCTTAAGAAGCTCAGGGATCCGCAACTAAACCTCGGATTGACTGCAGGAGTCGTGAATGCTTCTTTCTGCATGCTCTGCAAGGGCGCCTCAGGGAGAACACGGAGAGCACTTCCTGAGTGCTGGCCTCCCAAATGCACGCTTTTGCCAGGGTCCCCACTGCTCCAAAGATTCATGAAATCTACGGAAAAATGATGGACCACGGTAGGCTGCATGTCCAGAACTTCTCGTGCAGTGTCGTGCATCATAGGTTGGGCAATGCCGAAATTCGACCCTCGCCCCATGCCTGGCCTGTGCTGCTTGCGTGGTGCGCACCTCCAACCGGCCAATCCTTGGGAATGCCACGAGGGTCTGAGGGCTTCAAGGCGTTGCCTTCAAATTCTTGTGCGGTCTTTGAGCTCTTCACGGTTCAGGGGGACCCTGCAAACCAGTCTTTGTGAGCCACTTTAGAGTGGCTGCCAGCCAAGCCACTTGTAGATACGGAAGATGGTGCCATCCTCACCGAACAGAACACACCAGCATGGGTGTAGAGCCCCAGCTTGAACCCGTGCAAAGAGCCGTGAAGAAGGCATGCTGCATTCGAATGCACATTCTGTCAATTTGTCCTCGGTGGTCTGCGCAAACTCCGGCGCTGCAGTAGGCAAGATATCCTCGAGCAAGGTACGCATGAAGATCTCGTCCACCTGATTATGGGCGAGATGGCAAGCGAGTCACATGGTATCCTGGCTGATTAGCATTCACTCAGCAGTCTGGGCAGGCCACCAAACAACCCAAAACGCACTCCGAAGCCCTGTACTCTCAAACAGCCAACAGCCCCACGGCCTTCAAAGTGGTAAGGCCTGGTCTGGCAACCACCTGTGCTTTCCCTCCTCAGCGACTCAAGCTCCAGTAGCTAAGAAGGAAGGGGAGAACGAGAAACATGCAACGGCAAAAACACTCCGAACGAAGGCCCACCATCACGTGTTCGACGGAGGTTATGGATAACCCCAAATCCTCGGCAGCAACACATGGCCAAACCCGTCCCGCGAAGCAACACAACACGTTCGAGGCACCCTGAAAGCAGCACCGTACTAGCCTGAAACTAAAGCCTCTGTGCTTGGGGCATACCGCATACCGGGGCTTGTATCTCATGTACGTATGGCTTCGCAGGGCATCGCTCCTTCCCGGAGGATTTGGAAACGCGAGGTCCACGACCTGGGAAACTCGGCGCCGGCCATTCCTTGGCTGGCTTGGAGGCTACGTCGCCTGCGATCTCACAAACATTTCGGATCATCCCCTGCCCCCTACCCCTGCAAGCAGTCCAACCTTTGGACGAGACTCCGACTGTGAAGTTCTTGTCGCTAAAGCGAGCTTTCCTGGAGGTGTCGACCAGGGATGACCAGGGTTCAAGACATCAACTAGCAGTTTCTGCGTGAAGAGAGTGCAGTGAAGATGCCTGAAGAGCTCAAGTTGCGCATGCGGAACCTTTGCAAACCAGCCAATCCACTCCTACGAGACTTGCCACTGCAGTCCTCTGCTTTGTGAGGCTCTCCTCCTCCTCGATGCAGGATGTGTCAGTGCATGCAACGGCGGCTTTGCAATGCTGCTGGAATACAGGCACAGGCTTTAGGGAGAAACGTAAGGCTGCCGAGTTTGTGGGCGATTTGCCGGCTTAGCATGTCCTAGCTACAGCTTTACGGTGTGAGTGCGGATGTTCTGAGCCGAGAAATCCCCCAGCAGATCACAGCCTGGATGAGGTGGCGGAGCTTCTGCACGTAGTCCAGATTGGGATCCTGGGAGGAAACCCTCAGAAGCTGTCTCGTCGTTTCTGCATGCGGAAGGACAGGCCCAACCATTGCGCGGAAGTAAAAACCTTCCCGTGCTGGGGCCAGCCAACATCTTCGTCTAGCACTTCATGAAGACGTGCCAACCAAGGTGCAGGAGGGATGAAAGAGTCCCCCTCGGAAATCCTGCACATGGCTCATGGGAAGGCGGTGAGGACCCACAGAGAGGCCATGAAATCACGGGCCTGTCAGCCATCACGGGGTTGAAGACGCGCTGGAGCAGCTTGGCGTCCTCCGCCTTCAAGTTCTCGTAGGAGTCCTGGCCGGGTGCAGGCAGAGCTTCCAACTTCGTCGGTGAATCCTGCTGGCTTCCTGGGCACAGACACCTTGCATCCCTACCCTGTGCATCTGTCAGCGTGACCCTCCTCTTGAAGATTCTTCAAGAACGCCTGGCGGTCGCGTGGGTATTCCGCTAGCTGCTAGCTTCGAAGCAAAAGCATGATGTCACGGCGCCTTTCCCAGAGTGACACGGCCCTCCATGGAGTCGAAGTGGGCACCTTGGCTAAGGTCAAAATCCCACACAGCTCAAGCTTTGGGCTCCCTTCCACGATGCATCTGAAGCACGTGAATGAAGCACACGCAGCTTGGAACAAGTTTCAGGCATCTGGGTGGGTCAGTCCTTGAAAAGGGTCTTCTTCCAGAAAACCTTCTTTTGTTGATGCTGGCCGGAAGGCCCGCGAAGGGGTCTGTAGTTCTTACACCACAACAACTGCATAGTGCTTGGGTGGTTCCGAGCTGTCCTTTCTGGGCAACCCCGCTGCAGGCTGGCAGAGAGTTGGCGAAGCGCTCGGGGGCGGAGAGGTCGAACTTGTCCAGAGCGAGGTCCACACCTGCGGAGAGGACGGCTTTACAGACCGGAGGTGGTCAGGGGAAGGGGAAACCTGAGACCTGCTTGAGACATGCTGGAAGCCTTGTGGCTGGTCTCGCTGCGTGAGCTGGAAGCGCTGCGGCATGAACCTTCAGATCTCATCGGCTCTCTCCGGCTCCGCCATCAGGCCCGTTGCGACTTGCAGTCATGCGCTCCCTGAGTCCCCGGCATGGGCCGACCGGAAGGTCCAAGCTGCAGTCCTCTGTTTGCCAGCTTGGAGGCATGGCGGCAGCGTCCGCTTCCACTCACCGCTCTGTCGTGCCTGTGATGTCAAAGCGGCCGGGCTGGGCCAAGGCAGCTCCTGAGCTGGTCCGATGAAACTCCCAGCGCCGCCGGACTCAAGTTCGACTCTCGCTTGCTTGGATTTCTTTGTGGGGCGCTGACCTGGCAGCGGTGCGCCTGGCATCACGCTGGGCAGCGCGGCGCCCGGCAAGGCCGTGCGCTGTGCCAGCTGGAAGCGGTCCAGGCCTGAGGCCACGCGTCGCGAGTCCCCGAAAGGCCCCAAAGGCTTCGGCAGCTGCCACACTCGAGGCGGCCGCCAAACTCGACCCCGCCGTAGATGGCATGGAGGTTGCTCTGCAAGCCTGGCTTGTCAATGCCCTTGCAAGACGCAGCGGCACCTGGCATGGCTCTGAGCGCAAGGCCGGTCTGCATGTCCCGGATCTTGCCGCCTGGGCCCGAGCATCACGGCACAACCCTTTCTGCCCAATCCTTTCGCTGAGTCTAGAGCCCTGGAGCTGGATTCGCGAGTTGCCCCTCATGTTCCAGAGCTGCGGAATCTCTGAGAAGGCCTGGACGCTCTGGACTGTTGCATTGCAAGATTGTAGGCCCACGGCTCTGTATCCTTCAGTATCGTAGACGCTTGCCTCTGGCGTGGCGGACTGGACCATGTCCTCCGCGAGATCGAACCTGGACGACGCAGACCCCCAATGCGCCGTTTCTGCCGCGCAGGTTGGCTGCGCTCAAGGCCCGGGCCAGCGCGCATCCAGGGAGATCTTCGAGTCCACGAGGAACTTCGCCATCACCGAGGCCTGATCCGGAGCGTCTCTCTTCTTGTCGTTTTTTGGGGCCTTGGCGGACTGGCGCCTTAGGGCTTTCGAGGGTTTCAGGAACATCTGACGGGCTCTGCTTCGAGGCTCCCGAAGTCGAACGACACCATGCGCGGGACGATCATGGACGATGCGACGTCGAGGGCTCGAGTCTGATCCAGTAGTAAGGTCCATGTACGAAGTATCAGATCGAGGTTCAATCATCGCAACTTTCGACATGCCCGAGATTCCATCGCACCGATGAAGTACAGAACGTGTTCGTGACTCGATGACCGAACACGCCAGCTCGGATGTGGAAGAAACTCCACTGTCGGCGAGATGCACGCTCACAAGTGATCGTGTTGATATGTTGGCACCTATCAAACAAACCCCGTGAGTACCCAGCTGATGTGGCTTGCTGGAGATGTCACCCAAGGAAATCGGGCTCTTTGTCCCGATCCGATTAAGCTTGCCTCGGCATGATACTTAAGCATCTTACGGGAGGCTGTCTGCTTGTTTGCTTCTTTCTTTTGGTCGTTCGGTCGTTCGTTTGGTTCGGACGCGGCTCGGTAGCCATTCTTGTGTTCGTTATGCATGTCGTTCATTTGTCTGTTACCTGTTTAATTGGCTTGATAGTGTTATTTCTTTACATATCTCGTTGGTTCGCAGAGCCAAGGCGGGGAAGCATGAACCTCCCGTTGTCTCTTACAGCAAGGGCAGTGCCCTTGAACTGATGCGGCCATGCCTCTACCTGACAACTGCTACGAACCGGACAGCTCTCAAGCTGCCTTCTGAAGCCGTGGGACGAACACATGCACTTGCAGACTCAGATGATGTCAACCTCACATCCCGTCCCACAAGACCTACACTGAACGCAGGACACCCCCGAAACTTCGCACCGATATGCACCGATGTTGCACTCTGCATGAGAGATATACTTGTCACACAAAAACCCGGACTCCTTTGAGTGACACGCTGCCTGGCCTTGGCCAGCTCACGCAGGTGGAAGATCACGCTCCTCGGCCGAGCGGGGCGTCAGCAAGCCGGGCCGTCTCGGCCGGGCATTTTTTCAGGGGAGCTCAGAACCATTCAGGGGACCCCCCCAAAAAAGGGAAGAGAAAGAAGCGGCGCAAGGCTGAAGGAGACGCTGCGGCGAGCTTCTTTCGCTCGGCGATCAGGTCGAAGTGGCGCGTGAAGGCCTCCGCGAACCTGCAGCGACATTCAAGGACCCATCTACATCACCACTTTGCCTCTCCCTTCACATCCCGAAGTCACACTTGAGGAGCAGCCCCCCTCGACTTCTGGCGCATCTCGTACGCTGCATGTTGTGCCCCTCGTGCCTAGTAAGCGGGTGGTGCTTGCTGGTGATCGGCTTGTCCTCCAAGCCCTTGCTGGTGACCACCTGGCCACGGGCAAAAGCTTCTGGGAGTCCCGCCCGAGCCACCGAGAAAGCTTTGCCTGCTCACGGGCTTCGACGCCCATCTTCACGTAAGGTACCAGCGTCTTGTCCTGCGACTCTCGGGGGTTTGTCTGCCAAGAATCTGTTACCAGTCGAGAGATTCTCAAGGCTGGCCGGCCGGCTTCTGTACCTTACGCTCCTGTCCTCGGCCAGGCGAATCTCCGCCTTCTTCACCACAAACCTCGGTCCACTGCAGCTCACACACACACACACACACACACCTGATGCAGGTACGAAGTACATTAAGCACTGGCAGCTTTTCAAAGTCCGCCCGAACCAGCGCAGCGGTGCCGGGCGCTGGACCACTCTCGGCCGGCCCAGGTCTTGTTGGCATCGGTCATCTCCGACCAATCGAAGACGCTCCTCGCCAAAAGAGCACTGAGAGGAACAGGTAGAGGCAGCAGGCAGCATGCGCTTCTTCCATCTGCAGCCAAGGAACATCATCCCGACGATGGGCATCGTGTACTCGCCCAGCGCCAATTCCTTCAGGAAGTAATCGGCCTGGCCGCTTGCTTTGTGAAGCATTTGGTCGCTATCCTTTTTTTCGCAGGTGTCGTGCACCTGGAACATGATGTCTCCGACACTGGTACCAGCCAACCAAGCTGGCTCATACCGCTTGCGCTGCGGGGTTGTCTCCTTGGGACAGTGGTGGCAACGAGAGAAAGCATGCGGCAGACTCAGATTGTGGCAGCTCAGATATCCGATATCCCAGCCGGGATGCAGCATGTAGCGTGCTTACAGGCTTCTGCTGATGCCACACTGTCACAATTTCGGCTGAGAACATGCCTCCGAGCTGTCGCAATACACGACCTACCACAATTCTGTCTGCCACGGAGCCAGCTTCTGTGGATCAACCTCGGGGCTTGAGCTGACTCATAGCTTTTCTTGGTTTCTTGGTGCGTGCTTCCAGTACCGCAAAGATGCTTTGTGCCGGGGGGCAGGATCAAGTGAGAAGAGAGGCTCGCGGCAGGCCGTGCGGCGCACCTGGAAGCCCGACGTGCCCTGTGCCCGGCCGCGCAATGACTTGCTCCGAGCAACTCTATCTCTTTCCCCCCGTCTCCTACGAGCCAATGTTGCTCGCCCCGTATCCCTCTGCTGCCATAACCTTTAGCTTATCCATTCCATCCAATCTGTAATCGATAAGCCTTGAGAGCCAGCATCAGGTACTCCAAATTCACAGCGGCAGCGGGCTCCAGCGTGGACGCAATGCGGACCTGTGCTCTGGCTACCGGCTGAGGCCAGCAGCAAAGTGCCACAACTGAAGCAAGAGTAGCAGTAACGCAGAAACGTTTTGAAGCGCCAAGCCGCGCTTCGGGACGCCTCGTCATAGACCAGGCCTCCCAGGTGACTGCAGCAAGGGCAGCGAAACGCCGGGGGATGGGCAATTCTCTTTGTCTCCTAGGTTCTGTATCCAGAATGACTTCCAGTCCGGAAGAGGAGAGGTTTGAATGCCCCGAAACGCTTTGAGACGTGGAGCAGCAGAGGCCCTTCGGCGCCGGGGAGCAGCCCAGCTTGGCCGCTACGGGGCCACAGGCAGGCACCTCGGATGCCACGATGGCAGCAATGCGGTCTTCTGCTTTAAGAGAGAGCTCTTTTCATTTGGGGCCTTAGGGTTTAGTAAACCCTAAATCCCACGCCGTGGTATCGAGGATGCATGGGTGCAATGGTTTCTGCAGGAGCTTGCTGGACCCAGTTGGACAGAGTACTCGCGGATAGTGTAAGGCATCTACGGCTCACAGCTCCACGATGTTCCAGTGGGCATTGTTTGTACTCATCATGCGGAAGATAGTAAAGGCACCAATGAGCCCCAAATCGGGGAGTGTGGAATGTGACAACCGCACAGTCTCCGACTCGCCAAAGTGTCCGGGCATGACACCGAAGAAGCTTCAGGAACTCAGCATCTGGGTCCCGAACAGACTCAGGGCGCCAACCGATTTGGTACTCAAGGCGGCTGTCCAGCTTCTTCTGCCTGCAGGGTCGGTTGTGGTGAGGACTGCACTCTGCTAGACTTTCAGAAGTTTTATGTCAGATTACATTTTCAATACGGCGCTGCCAGCCGGTGTTTTGCCAGCACGTCTGGTTTGGGAATGGATCTTCACAGCACTCTGTGGCCTTTGCTCCTCCGTGTTCTTCTCATCCTGCTTCTGGGCATCCTGTCAAATCAATGGTAAGGTCCAAAAAACTTTGGCCGCTTCGGGCGGGTTTGCTCTTGAAGCGCTAGGGCGACAGCTGTGCAGCTGTCGGGCCTCTAGCACGATCTGCGCCATGCATTCAGGATGCACGAGCTTGTAGGCCTGAAGACCACCGGAGATGCATGGGCTTCGTTGCTGCTTCCGATGCCACCGCCGCTGCAGCTAGTCGCACAATCGCCATGCTGATGACGAAACAATATAGACCAGCTCCGCAAAAAATCGCCGTCTTCATCATCGTCATCATGATGAGCAACTGCATCAGCATCATCGTCAGCATCACTGACCATGTTCATGGTGATTGGCAGCAGCATCAGCAGCACCGTCGCCACTTTCGCAGATTCTCCGGTCCCTTTCTAACGGTTCGCTCCTTCCTGTTTCTCCGATTCTCTAAGCCCTTTAGACCGGATTGCTCCTGCTTCTCAAACCTCTCACGCCTTTCGCAGAGTTTGCTCCTCTTTCTCAGATGCTCTGACACCTTTCGAACGGGTTCGCTCGTCCTTCTCAGGTTCTCTAATCCTTTTTCGAGCGATTCGCTGCTCTTTCTCAAGCTCTCTACAGTCCCATTCGAGCGGTTCGCTCCTTTTCTCAGATTCTAAAGTTCCTTGCGGCTCGATCAGCTTTCTTATATTTTCTAGTTCCTTACGAATATCTCTTTCGCTCCCCTTTTCTCAAATCCTCCAGTCGATTCGCTCCTCTTTCTCACATCCTCTAGCCCCTTTCGAACGTTTCGTTCGTTTCGCAGATCACCTGTAAATCCTTATGTGCGCGGTTCGCTCCCATTTCTCAGATCCTCTAGTCCCATTCGAGGGGTTCGCCCGTCTTCTCAGGTTCCCCAGCCCCTTTCGAGCGGTTCGCTCTTCCTTCTCAAATTCTCGAATCCCTTTCGAGCGGTCGCCCTTCTTCTCAAATTCTCTAGTCCCTTGCCAGCGGCTCACTCCTCCTTCGCAGATTCTCTAATCACTTTCGAGCGCTCTTGTCCCGTTCGAGCGGGTCGCTCCCCTTGTCAGATGCTTAAATCCCTTTCGAGCGTTTGCCCCTCTTTTCAGATTCGCTCTCCTTTCTCAAGTACTCCTTATTGAGCTCAGATTCTCTAGTCCTTTCGAGCGGTTTGCTCCCCTTTCTCAGATTCTCTGACCCCTTACGAACGGCTCTCTAGTTTGTTTCGAGCAGTGCGCTCCTTTTTCTCAGGTTCTCCAGTTCCTTACGAGCGGTTCTCGAAACCCTGGTGAAAGGTTCGCTCCCCTTTCTCAGATCCGCTAGTCTCTTTCGAACGGTTCGCTCCGCTTTCTCAGATTCTCCAGTTCCTTACGAGCGGTTCTCCAACCCCTTTTGAACTATTCGCTGGCCTCTTTCCTGCCTGCAAAATTTTGTTGCTTTCGGACAGCGCCGGATAAAGACCTCCGCCGGCCGGGGTCGGGAGACGCAGGCTGCGGCGGCAAAACAAAAGCATTCCAGGGAGCACCATCACCAACACAACCGCTATCACCACCATCACCATCACCACCACCGTCACTGCAGCTGCCACTGCTTCCGTGCTGCTGATGTTCGACTGGCACGAGTGCCGCGGCTCGTGCTTGGATTGTGCATGGCACTGAAGCCGCTACCCTCTCCTTCCCGATTTTTGGTTACTCCTGCCACGACTGCAAGCGCAGCAAACAACAATAGCAGGGATCAAAAGCCACTAGAAGCACGAGTGCCGCCGCCTCCACACGACCACCACTACTGACAGCCGCACCAGCAGCAGCAGCAGCAGCAGCAGCAGGGGCAGCAGCGACAACCGCAAAAACAACCAAGGCCACAAAATCTAAGGAAGAGCAGCGTCAGCAGCAGAATGGTAGCAGGAAGCCCAAGGTCAGAACTCCTTGCAGTCCTTGCACTTGCTTCACGGTTCATCGCAAAATGCTTTGATGTAGAGATCTTCTTTCTTGCAAGTTCTGCCGCTACGCAAGACAAGCTGTTGCCCGTGCCTTCTCCTCGGGCCTGTAGGCTGACTCCCCCATGGGCAGACCACACCTGAGTCTGGGCTCGAGGACACTGAGAACGGCCTCGGCCGAAGACTCACAACCCCGAAGAAGACCCAAACCCTACGCCCCCGCAGCACTATCTGGCCATCCAGGCGCTGGCTGCAGAGCTGCACCTCCTCACCGTCGGAATCCACTTCCTCAGGCTCCATGGATGTTCGACGTTCATGGAATGCCGACCACACGCGACATGCTCTGGAGGAAAGAACACCCGTCTCAATAGCTCCGCTCGACAAAGACTAAAAGCTGCCACATCTGCCCGATCCGGTCTATTCCCAACGATCCACGGGATTCAAAACAAAAAAATCTAGTGCCTCCGAGCGGCAAACTCCTTCTTCGGACGCGGCTTCGTCGCCTCCTTCTCGGCCATGGCCCGCGTCAGGAAGTCCTTCGGGGCCACCTCCGACAAACGTAGTCGACGTAGCGGAGCAGCGATTCGAAGCAACGCGAAGGTCTGCTGCTGAGGATGGCCTCTCCGCGTGCCTGTGGTGTGAACCATGGGAAAGCCTTCCTTGGCAGCACCCGTGATCCAGTGCCGAAGCCAAGACCCATCCACAAGAAACTATGCCTATCGATCAGTTCGGCGGCGATCGTGAATATCAGGCCACATGTGAGAATTCTAGTCCCTCGGCTCAAACACAGGCAGGAACAGTTCAGGATGCAAGTGCCATCCCAGCCACCTCTCATAGCCTGACAAGAGACGGAGGCAGGCTTCCATCAGGTGCAGCGAGTTAGGCTTTTCAACTTGCTTGCTGATGTCCTGGCCGTGGCCCCCACCTTTGTAGCTACCGTCGCGGTTCTCCGCAAACTTGGCTTCATAGAGTCGCAGAGCTTCCTGCAAGAATGGTCTCGGCCGCTGCGGCTGCTGCTTTGAGCTGAAGCTATGCGTGCCGGTCCTTCTCTTCCTCGCTGGGCCCCTCCTCTTTTGACGGGAGCAGGCCTGAAGACACCAAAACGCCTGCAAGAAGAGGCCCGCAAAAACGCGAAAGCCCGGGCCAGGCCTTCGCAGTCCGAACAGTTCGCCTCGGCAGCCGGTGTTTCCCAATCTCTCTCTCCCTGTCTCGCTGAGTCTCTCTCTCTCTCTCGCGACGTGCGCCTCTGGCGTCGTCGCCCCACGGCTGTCGCTCTCGTGCTCACCCTCGCTGGTGGACTCGACAAGGTCGGCCTGCAAACTGGGGGCCTTGCCCACGACACAGCTCCAAATGCCAAATCAAAACTGCCCCGCACCCTTCATGAAACAGAAGCGCTATACATAGTACGTGTGCATGAACTTACCTTCGCTCAGTCTTTTGGCCTCGTGGGTTCTCCAGTACGTGCGTCTAGATAGCATGCCAGTGGCCATGTCGCTGGCATTCGACAACCGTCCAAGAGGAGAGGAAGCTACAGAATCCTGAAGCCTGATTCAAAACGACCACCAAACACTGCTTGATCCCAACCCTTCATTGCAGCGGAGGCACAGCACCCAGGCTCCCTATCCCACAACATGTTGTCTAGCGTGACAAGAAATACTATTTTAGAAACCGCATGGGTGCTTCCGGGAAAGAGCGCAACAGTACCGCATCGCTCCGTCTTGCTTCAGGCTCGCGCTCGAGAAGATTCTGTCCCTTGCGGTGCGATAGCCGGCTCCGGCTTGAGGGGGCCTTGACGGCTAAGAGCTCGGAGAAGCGTCCGCGGCGGCGGGAATCGGCAGAGGCCTGCAGATCGAGACAAGAGACAGGCCCAGAGATTCCATTGTTTTCCGATTGTTTTCCGGAGCAGCGTTGCTTGGCAGCCACAACCCCATCAGATGTCAAACCTGCACATCAGTGTGGCTCGGCACATATCACAGGGCTCGAAAACAAAGCTCCAGGAACTCGGGAAGACTCTTGGGCTGCGTTACCCAAACGAGCTACTGGACGTGCTAGTGCTGCTTGTCTCACCACACGAACACCAACCCAGCTTCCAGCTTTTCTAAGGCAGAGACAAGGACTGTGTCGACAGCAGCCATGATGCCTGAGGCTTCGAAGAGAGAGATGAACTTCACAGTCATGCGACGCTCCCTTCCCAGTCCTTCTAAGTAATTCTCGCTTCTGTTTCGATAAACTTAGATTTAGATTTGATTGGACTTTCTTCGCTACGCTGCAGCATTCGCATTGGCTTCCGCTGCATACTCCATTTCTTGTTCATGGCTGGCCGGTCTTGTGGGATCTGCTGCTGTTTACGTTCTAGCTGCTAGATTTGGCAGCGACGGCTGCTTATGTTATATGATCGTGGGTCGAACATGTGGTGCTAGGTTATTAACATCGGCAGTTCGTTTGCATCTTCGATTGTAAAGAAATCAGGAACGACGACACCGAGCTTTGGAAGAAGCCCCATCTGTTTATGATATCTGCGTCCATAGCTTTCTTGTGCTACCCATCCACAGTCACCCCCACCCCTGAACCGATCACGGTGCAATGCTGTGGTTAGAGATTTTGGAACCCCTGACATCCCAGCCGAATGCTCTGAAGCGTCGACATAACCCTAAACAGATTCTGCAAACATGCTTTGTCCAATGCATTCCAACCCATGCATACGAGAGCCCTGCAAACCCAAGCCATACGAAAGACTCCTGCCAGACAAGCACACCAGAAATTTACACGCATCCGCACGTGTTCGTAGCTGGTTGCTATTTCTCCGCAAATCGAGATGAGTCAACCTGGCTTGGAGCGTACTCACACTTCAGCTTACAACCGTACCCCACCACATTCACTGACCGCCGTCTGTTCGCAAGTGATCGATAAGACATGCAGTATACAAAGTTGTCCGCCATCACCTGTCGCGATATTCCGTCATGGTCGTCGCTGTGCTTAATGTTCGTGTTCCAACATTGTGTCATATGCACCGAGGCTCCTCTATAGAGTTGTCAAATACAAAGATGTCACAAGACACGTCGACAATTTACGCTCTACTTCGGTCGTATGAACTGTAATAAGATGTTGGGCGGGCGCGTGGGTGAAAGTCTGCGTGTGCTCGTGTGCTTGTATGTACGTGTGCAGTTGCTGGTCTTGTTTGGATGTTGAAGGTACGGGGAGTTGTTTATGGGACTGGCTGCTTTGCTTGCTGTAGTTGGGACGACTTTGCCCCGCTGCCAAGTGTTGATTTTGTGTCGCTTCGAGCTGCGAAAGCGAGAGAAACCTGAAAAGCAAAAAACTAAAACACACGAGAGAACACACAAAACCTTAAACTCAACAAGACCAGGTCTTACTTTCTTGCATTAATGACACATAACTCTGCTGTCAGTCTCACTTCGTCCTTTCCATGCATTCCTCGATTTGACAGAACCAGATCTCCATTGCAACAAGCACTCTATCTTGTCTGGCTGGACCCAAATTCCGAAAGTAGATACTCTACGAATCCGATAAGCAGATACTCCGTTATCTTGTGCTCAGGCCGAAAAAGACGAAGTCTAGGTCTGTCAATAGCACACCCAAAGGGTGAACCTTGGCAAAATTTGGTTTCTATAGATACATCTTGTCCTCTGAACTCTGTGCAGCATACTAGAAATCAATACGGTGTAGTGTCCTTATATGCCCAGAAACAATACAGTAAAGAAACTGTGCATCAGATCAGCGGCTCAGCAGATACTGAGTCTGCACTTCCCTGCTAAGCTGGGTCAGCCTTGCACACTTTACTTTTCTTTGCGAACGCAGGCTGCGTGCTTGGCCGCTAGGAGTGCTCCTTTCAGGAGCAAGTCTAAGGAGCGCCTTTGGCGCCTTTGCTGGAGCTCCCCGAAGGTCGCCTTGGAACGAAATCACTTCCGGAGGTCGTAGAGGACCCCAATGCCGGCACCAAAACCATGATTCAGTGTCGCGTGCCCCCAGCCGTCTGGAAGCAGAACCAAATCTCCGGCATATTGAGAACACCTGCGCGGACTCGCCGAGACGATGTGCTTCTGGAAACATGGGCAAGTTCATACAAATACGTGAGTATATACTTGTGTGTGTCCACACTGTATATATATATATACATACATACACACACATATTATACATCCACAGAGTTTGTTAGGCCAATCGTACATTCGACACCTATGTTTTAAGATCCACATGCAGATACGTGGAAAGCGCTTTGCGCACATTTATCCACAGGCCAAAACCGAGTGAGACAATGGAGAGAGAGAGAGAGAGAGAGAGAGAGAGAGAGACATCTACACAAACATACATGCACTCACATACAGTTACACATACATATAAGCACCTCGATTGTCACCGCACAACATGGCGTTGCTCGAATATGCAAGAGCACGACATTACCCTGTAAGGAAAGCCCGTCACAACACACTCACCAATAACATTTGCAGTAGGCTCCTGGCAACGACTCGCCGAAACACTGGCACAAAGCAGCTATCATGAGGCAGCCGCATCGGATCTGGGGCCCCAGACAAGAGAATCATCAGGAATTGCGCCCTAAACCCTAAACCCCCTGATCGGTGCAGACCGCTTCAAACAATTTTGTGGAAGAGCCGACTGAGGCGAGACACCGAAAGACGTGGTCCATAGAAACGCCAGACCTTGGATGCACAGCCGCATGACACTCCGGACCGTACTGAAGCGAGGCTTCATGTCTGATGGAAACAAAGAAGATCCGTGGTTTTTGCAGCCAGGGCACCTGTCGAAAAGCTCGTAAGTCGCGATGCCAGCTCTGGCCGCAAGGTACGGGGGCGTCCTAAAGTTTGCACCGTCCGTGCTGGTCCGATATGCAACAGCGGCCGAAAAGCCGTTACTTCTGAGCTCTCGGCACGTACCATTCCTTCTCCCCAATAAAGAGGACATTGAAGGCAGCGACATGGTAGTGCAGCGCAGCACCACTGCGGTCACCACCCCAGAAGTACTGCTTGGACATGTGGTTGATGCCAGGAATCAGCTTGTGGATCTTGGCAACAGTCTCCATCTCTGTCAGCTCCTTCTGGAAGATGCCTGCTGCGCACGCCGCCAAGCTGCGCTTTTCATCAACATCGACACCACTATGATGGTGATGATGATGAGATGATACTGATGGAAAGGATGACGGTCATGATGGCGGTGATGATGATGATGATGATGACGACGACCCCATACGGGACACCAACTGCACCTATGTCGTCATGGCCTCCACAATCAGACTTGCCACCATCATGTGCAATCTCCTTACCACGACCGTCATCATGATGATTACAGTTTTCATCATTGTGAACATGGTCGTCAACATCATTCTCATGACTCATAACCATCCTCATCCTTCAACATGATCCTCAAAACCACCATCATCCTCACCCTCTGCACCACCATCGCCATTGCAGTGGTCATCATGACAATCAACGCCAATCACAAAATGGTAGGATCATGATTGTCGTGCTCGGTGTCACCGCACCATTTCCGCACCACACAGTCATCACTAGAATGATCATCATCCCCATCATCACCCTGATCATCATCCTCATCACCATGATCATGATCAGTTTCTTCTTCTCCCTCCCTCATCATGATTGTCGTCAATATCCTCTTCTTCCTCGCAATCAACATCATTGTCATCATCACGGCGTTCTTCATCCTTGGCCGTGACAACATCAAAAGTACTGCCGAAGGCAACGTGGTCGTCGTGCACACGGTCGTTCTGCATGCTTAAGTTGGCCTGCGACTGTTGATGCTTTTACCCTGGCGCCTGGTGCATGAGCAGCGTAGTAGTTGGAGGTGTTGCCATGCCTGCACCAAACATCCCGGCATCGATTTATCTTATAGCATTCCCCCAGGAGCAGCTTGCTCTGCGTGCCGAATGGTCGAAATCTTCCTGAGTCTTTCCTGACAACCTATCGCCTCTCGTTGCTGTGGCAATCTTGCCCTATTCGCAATCGAAAAGCAACTCTCAAGCTGCGACAGCTTTGCAACGCGAGACACAAGAAGGATCGGCATCGCCTGAAGCACCGAGCCCCCTTCTCCGCTTCCTCCACCGTGAAAGTCTTTTCGCAGGGCAGCGCCCCAATGAGCTGAGGGTAGGCAATCGGTCCCAGCTTGAAGCGAGTGGACGTGTGCACCTGCTGGAGAGGGCCAGACCAACATGAGGATTTAGGGTGGCAGTGCCAGCTGCCACAAATAGCTCTTAAGTTGACAAAGCAAATCTTTATCTTCAATGAAACCTTGGGCAGGTTGTCTGGTTTGGTCATAATCACGTTTGGTCTTTTGGGCTTGAGAATTGCGTTCTGGAGCTGACAACCACTCAAAAGGCACAACCCCATCTCCGGCAGGCCTGCATCACTCGATGCTTGGCCAGAGAGCATCGGTCCTCGAGGGCCGCGAAGTTGCGCACAAGGACCGGGCCTGGAGCTGCCCCAAAACGCAAGAATCTCAATTAGTCCATCCTTTTTTGGCCGAAACACGGCCCATGTCGAGGAACTTGGACTTGAGGTCCGCCTCGTTGAGGGCATCCACCACTTCGAAGTCCTCGGATGTCGGCGATGCATGGGACACTCTCATGGGACCCGCCAACCCCGCGCTTGAGCATTGAGGGTCGCGACACTTCATGGGACAAGTTACACAGGCTTCGTAGTGCGCCCAGTCAGACGTTTCCGTCCAGCCCAGATGTGTCGCAGACAGCTCCTGCTACCAGGCAGACAACATTAAGAGCTTTACTGTTTCATGAGCCTTTGCATCGTCACGATTGGGCTGAGCAAGTCACTCTGCTTTCTACTGTGACCGCTCAGTCTTGGTGCGCAAGCCTTCAAGCGCCCACTGCCCCGGAACGGCGCAGACCGACTCTTCTCCCTCTCCTCGCCGTGGCACTGCAGCGTCTGCGGACCCGGCCGCGGCCGCGACACGCGATACTTCGGCGGCGCCAGCTTCAGCACCGGAGATCCGGGAGCCCCTGTGCTTTCCACACATGAACTCTCCAGGCGCTGACTTCCAGGCTATGACTTCAAACCAAGCCGAAGGTCGGACGTAGTCCATAACTGTCCGCCCCAAGGCATCGATGGGCTCGGAGGCTGGGAAAAGGCTCTGCAACAGATCCTCGGCACAGGCATCCGAAGATGTTTTGATCAGAAAGGGACCTCGAGGCCCGAGAAATCTACGGAAGGACTTCAATAGATCCCAAGAGGTTCGAAGCCAGCCGTATTGGCGTCGGGATCCGCAGTCATCCATCCAAGGCTCTGCATCCCCCATCCAGACAGCAAGCTGCACGGCGTTCCGACCCTTCCTTCGCTGGCACATGAACAACGGTGCACGCTAGAGCCGCTAGAGTGCTAGAGGTTGAGGGGCCGAAGAACCTGCTCAGGAACACTGTAGAGCCTTAGAAAGGTTCAGCTGGGTCACGCATGTGTCCACTGATGCCTGTCGAAGCCAGTAAGGCGAAACACGGAGAGCTTTGACTTCTGGGAGGACCTGCCGCAAGCAGAACAGCGAGAGCATGGCAGAAAGACACTTGAAAGATTAGATTTCCTAGCAGAGCACCATACTGGACTTGATTCACGTCACGACGCACCGATGCACGGGGGCCTTTGTTCCCTCACGAGGTCCTTCGAGTAGATGACGTCTGCGTCCTCCTGTAATCCACTCAAGCCCACCAGGATCTGTGCTTCTAGACGAACAACCCAATTTATGCAGACAACTTACGGCCCTGGGCAGAAACCAAGACCCCTGCTTTGTTCTTGATGTCAAGCTAGAGTGATCAAACTCGGGCTGCGTGAGTTCTGGACATGAGAATCGAGACAAAGAATCAACTACCAACGATTATGCACCATAAGCCTCGATGTGACCATGGGACCTGGACATTAGTACCACCACTATCATCACACTCATCAACATCGTCACTAGGGCCAGGGGGGGCCGGGGGGGCCGGCTGGCAGGAAAGGGGCGATTTGCGCGTTTTTGGGTAGAAGCTGCCCGCCGAGGAAAGCCTGGCAACCCTCATGGGGTACCTGTTTTTAGGGCATTGCCATTCCGCATCCGCAAGCACAATGAACGATTCTGAGAAGAAGAGACCCTCAAGCCCACAATGCTACCCGAACATGGACTGCACCCAGTCCCATTTCGATCATGATGCACATGAGAACCACAACTGACGTGAGTTTCGGTAGTCAAAGAAGCAGCCTCGCCTCAGTGAAGGGCTTGGTTGGCTCGAAGGGGAGCCTCTTCGCCAAGTAGCCGCAGCTTCGGGGCAAGCCGGACAAGATGCCTTCAGACTTGCATGAGCAGCTTTCGCTTTTGAGGGCAGAGGCGAAAACGTTCTCCAGCGACACATCGCGGCGGTTCTGCAGAGTCGCAAATGTGGTGCCCGGGATCTTGCAATAGAAGACATCTACTTCACAGCGGAGAGCCGCTGAAGCTCTACAGGCCCCATGCAGGGCAGTCATGGGCAGTCCGCAGTGTCTTGATGCATCTCAGCCACACTGGAACATCATGCGATTTGCTGCCTTCACGGTGACAGCTCCTCCCATGTGACTCGGGGCGGCAGCCAGGTTGAAAATTATAGAAGCCAAAAGTCCGGGGACCAGGTATGAGTCCAGTCACTAAACAAGTCACAGCTGTCTGCTCCTCTGCGTCCAGGCCTTAGTCTGACTTGTGTTTACCTGATCTCGTTCTTCCTTGACTCGGTCCTCTTTTATCAACGCATCTCCTGCCTCTAGAATGCCTTACAGAAAGGTCCTCCAGAGTGAGAGGCTGTCAGTAGCAATTAGAGGATATGGCGGAATATGGTGGAAGAGACAAGTTCCTCTCCCCCTAGTACGCCCGCTGAGGCAGGGGTTGAGGGTTTGCCGGTGTGGGTTGGCCACGAGTCTCCTGGCAGGTTCTCTTTCTCCAAGCATTTCATCATCAGATCATCCAGCATTTTCCGAATCGAAGACAGAGTCAGCAGATTCGCCTCGGCACGTGATGGCCAAGGGCCCTACAGCGGTGCAATCATGACGCCACAAAAGCCCAAAAAATCGGATCTCCATGCTGCACGCCCAAAGAGATCAGTTGGAGACCTGCAACTTTCGCCAGAAAACTTTTCCAAGCCGAGATTCCGTGCGGAGCTTGCGCTCATCTGGTCCCATTGCCTGCGGGACGGCCCTCGCAACTCGGCCGACGAAGCACCGCAATACATCTGGATTACCGCCCCGTCGCCGCCCTCTGAATAAAAACTGGGGCCGGCCAGCAAACGGCCCAAGTTCGAACTGATGACATGAGAGCCCAAGGGCGGCTACTGTACGAACTCCCATGGAACAGGCCACTCGACACAAGTTCACCCGAAAAAGGGCGTGGGCCCTGAACGTTCTACGGCTTCCTGCCTTCACCTTGCAGCGCCCCACAGCAGCATCCCAAAAACTGCCTTGCCTGGGAAATTCCAAGCTGCTCAAGAGAATCGCGTGATCCTTATCCTAGGAAGGCCTAACATGGACATCAATGGTCCAACGGTAGGAACGGATGCTGGTATCGTCCAAGACTCACAGGATGATCCTTCGGCTGGCCTGATGCATATGCCTTTGTGGAGAGTGCCCCCAAAAAAAGAGCTCGGATCAGAAACAGCATGAACGAGCCCGACGAGGTTCCGAAAGCCGGCCAAGCCACGAAGGGATCACCCCAAGCCCAGGGGTTATCCGCATCCAAGGCTCCTCGTTATAAGTATGAGAGGAAGCTTAGATGGATGGAGAGTGCGAAGTGTCACAGGCACAGAGAGAGAGACAGAGAGAGGGAGGGAGGGAGGGAGGGAGGCTCTGCGTGGGTGTGCTCCTGAAGGATCTGCTTCTTGCCAGGTGCCCGTCATGGATGTGGATGGCAGGAGCGGCGCGGGCTGCTCGGGCATTGGTGCCGATGAGACCGGATGCCCACAGCAGGAGTCGTAACCGAACTTCTCGAAAAGGGCTCCGTCGAGCTCGACGACCAGCCTCGCCTCGTACACAAGCGGTTACAAAACCAGAAAGACGTGACACCCTGGGATCTCCACATCTCCACTCTTGCCGGATGAGTTGGCCGGGCGGCGGTTGCTTCGTCGAAAAAGGTCTCGCAACCACCATGCTTGGACCCGCCATGCCCGCCACTCGATGTACCCGATTGGATAAACGACTGCACTTTTGACCAATCCACCTGCGGGGGTGGGGAATGGCAGGGATTCGTCGGAGCTTTTCTGGAGAAGCCTTCTTCGCACGTCCGGCCTGGCCCCCCAAGCTTTCGAAGTCTTTGAGGCCTCACGGTTGAAGTTGAAGCCCCTTGCAAACCAAGTCTCAACCAGAACCTCCAATCTGAGCTCCGAACAGCCTGCGATGTCGGCATCCAAGGATTCCGTATGCATCCAGCAGTCAGCCAACTCAGAAATGCTCGCGCTGCGGATCCCCTGCACAGTTTGAGCTGCCGCCTCCTGCGTCATGCCTCGCACCAGAAAAGCGTTATCGCGGATATCCATGTCAGGATCTTGGGATAGGTACTTGCCGTGGAAGCGTCCACTGAGCAGCCCCAGCTTGACGGAGCCCTGGTGCCCCATGAACTTGATCCAGGCGCGAAAGCGCTCTACATCATCGGGGCCGGTGAAGCCGTTCTGCGAATTGCGGCCTACCAGTCGCTTGTATGCCTCGGGGTCGCGCCGGCGTAGGTCCGCCATGACCCCTGCTCTTCTGTTGACTTCAGACTGAAAGGCCCACAGGCTGAGATAAGATTCGCAAGGGTTGCGCACAGATGCAAGCAAAAACTCGTCCTTCGCAATGCCAACGGCCCTCACTGCCTTGGCCTCGGGGATAACATTTAGCCTGTGCGCGGGCATGACTTTAAAGAGATGAGAAATGGCATACCGGCTCCCGGTTTTCGGGAACCTTGCATAAGCAAGTCGAGACTTGCTAGGCCTGCTGGGTTTCGCAGGCGCCGGCACGGCAGGCGCCGCCGGCACTGCAGTCTGTGGAGGACTGCTGGCTAAGCCTTCGCTCGGCTTGGGAGCAGCTTGCAAGCCGTGAAGGGTTTCATTTGCGAGCACCAGGGACACCCCTGGAGGCGGAGGCTCGTAAGGAGGCGCGTGAGGAGCAGAATCGCTCGGAGGGCTCGGCTCCGCCGAGCTTTGCAGCGGATTCGGGGAGACGACTCGGCCCGGGCCCCCGGCACCGTCGCTCTGCACCAGCGGAAGAAAAATATCTCTCGAAGCTCCAGTAACGACGGATATGGGGCCGCCCTGCGTGTAGAGCAGACACACCAGCCACATGGCAACGAAGAAGATGCCAACAAAGGCACGGACCATGTGGGTCAACATGCCCGTGACTTCGCGAGGAAAGAATAACAAGCGACTCGCTACTTTGATCACCCCGAGGCTTGCAGTATACTTTCGACATCTTGGGTCTCCCTAACCTCTGCCGTGTCTCTGTGTCTGCCTATATGTCCCACAGATGGCTGCCTTTCGCTGGTACACAGAGCTTGGGGCCTGAGCAAGCAGTCACAGGACTCACTGGCACCTGTAGCAAAGCTCCCGGCTCGTCCGGCGCTCAAAATTCAGTCGCTCGAAACCTCGGAAAGCACTTCGCACACATGCGCCGGCTGGGCAAATGCACAAAAGACCCCCTGCCTCGCACCCCGAAACTCGGGAAGTGTTGCCCGAGAGCTGTGAGCCGCACGGCAACAGATACAGCGAAAGGAACGTCAAAGGAGTCTAGGTGGTCGTCTTCGTTGGCAAATTAAAGACCACGCGGCGCAGGACGGAGGTGGGTTTGAGATGGTTTGAGTGTTTATGGTTGAGGACCCTCAAGATGATGGGAATCGAGACCTCTGTAAACATGATGACAGCCGTGCGCCCCATTGGAAGCCAGCATAGCAGACAAATTCCCAGCCCAAGTCCCAATCCCTGGTGCAAGCCCCGGGCCCTGTCAGCTGAGCCTGGCCACGAAAGGCTTCGATGGGTCTTGGACAGAGGTCGAGCGCGCTCATGTACGGTACAGGCTGCAGACTCCGGCTCTAGACTCTAGACAGACAGGCCCCCTTGCCAGACCAGGGCTACACTGAGGGGCAGTCAACACACGCACCACTGACACAGGTGAACTTCACTCTGCAGTCAATTGGTAGCCGTAGTGGCGTGTTCTATCGCTGCTTCTGCTGAAGCGTCAGCATGCAACACTGCCGCAACTTGTCCTTGCAGATCCTTTCCCTCCTTTCCCTCCTGTTTATCTGCCCTGTCCCTGACCACGTGCTTCGGGGAGGTATCTGGCTTGAGCATTCCTACCGGGCCATATCGCCTCAAGACCGGTATTTGAGGACATCTCAAGCGTTGACAGGCACGTATCAACACGTCCTGGCCACAAATCCAGAACCAAAAGCCGCCCAATGCTTTCATGGGATGCTTCGACAAGATGCACGCCGCTACGCCCTCTTCAGCTCGGCCTCCAGGTTCACAGGAAGGCTACCGACGCCAGCTGTGGTGTCCACGCGGCCAAACACGCCTTCTGCTGGGGCACTCGAGATGTCCGGGTCTGGGCAGGGTCCGACCCGCTGCAGTCACCGACAAGACAAACGGAACCCGCTTCGCCCAGATATGCACCGATGCGGTTGATCTTGCAGCTCGCCTGCGGCTATCGTGATGTCCACCGGCTTGCCCTTGCACTTCTGCATGTCGGCACCTCAACTCCAAGCAGCAAAGCTGCGAAAGCAAGTAATGACTCAAAGTCCGGAACCAGCCAGAAAAGCTTGAGCGGTGCCAAAAGGATCCCGGTTGTCAAGCCGTCAAGCCCAGGCAGGTCCGTGCTTGAGGCACCTAGTGAGAGGCAGAGGTAGTCCGCCGGCACATCCCCGACGATGGTGACCTCCAGACTAGCGCGACGCAGCGAACGTGCAATGCATCTTCCACGGTGCAACGCGGAGCAAAAGCCTGGAGCTGGCTGCTATCAATCAGGACTCGGGCCGTGTCGGTCACCTCGCGGAACGGACACCATGCTCGAGAAATCGCTTCGACTCAGGGCCAGGCGGCCTTGTTGAACCGTTATTGCTGACTAGGGACATCGTAGTTCTGCGAGGCTTCCCCAAGTGGGGTGAGCACGATGTTGCCGGTGCCGCGCAAAATCTGCTCGGCGAAGGTCAGGACAATGTCGGTATCTGTGAGTTGAGGCATTCATAAAGCTCTTACCCTGTAAAGCACACAGCCAAAACTCACCGGGATCAACAGGTAGCTTGTAAGCATCCCAGTGGCTGATGGGAACCCCGTAGGTTCCGATGGCAGGGGAGTAAGACGTGATGCCTCGGCAAGGCACGAGATGCCGCAGCTCCGAGCGAAGAAGCACGTCAAACTTTTGTGACAAACTCATAGCCAAGGCTCAGGATGTCCACCAATCCTGAAGCTGCCCTACTGAGCCATGAGTCTCATATCGGCTACTGGCTTCAGACCTTTCAGTGGCAGAACATTCTCGTGACCCGATGCTGTTTTTGTGCCAATCTCTCTCTCTCTCTCTCCGTGGACATGGCTCCGAGATCGATTTTTGTTGGCTGCGCATGTCTCGCTGCCACATGCCGCTTGGGCTTCCGCAGACCCTCCGCACTCCGCCACTGCACCAGCCATTTCTGATTGCAGCACAGCGTCGTAATTGCTGGAGCTGGGCAGAGCAGCTGCGTAGTTTAGGTTCACCGAGGTGTCCGTAAAACACTTTGCAGCAAAGACGACCTGGTACCTGACTCCATCCGAGAGGTTTAAAGTTTAAACAGCATCCAACATGCAACAGAGTGGATTCTGCCAGTCGCCTTTTTTGCCGGGTCACTGGCTGCAGGGCAGGATGGGGAAGGCGACTGTATCGATGGTGATGGTTGCCGAGGCGCCTGCGTGTCCAGTCCCAAAAACCCATTCCTGCATCCGTGATCTAGACATAGGCTGCCGCAGACAACAGCATCTGGGAATCTGCGACTCTAGGACACAACTCCAGGTGCACCTGACACGGTGATCTGCGCGTCGCTGCACTTGGGGGCCACCGAGAACGGTGTCTGACGCTGGTACGGATCCTCCCGACAAGTTCCGAGTGCTTGAGACGTCGCCAGAAAAAGCATGACGCCCGACAAGAGAACACCCCGAGCTGCACATTGCTGTGCAGCGCTCCTGGATGCCCCAGGTTGGTGCAGTGCCGGACACATCCTCAGCTAATAAGGCTGGCATTGGTTCTCAAGATTCTCAAAGTTTACTTTGTGACGGCATTGCTGGAGGTGTGGGATTCTGCCGAAAGAGCTCTCAGTCTCTCATGACGCCAGGGTACAGGGTTTGCCTGGATATCTTCGGAGAAAGTGAAGACCTTGGCTGCAGCTTCCTCACAAGACTCAGCAGGGATTGCACCAGGGCGGCTTCCCGAACTTTGGCCCGGGGACGACGGTTGTTGTTACTGGCACGTTGGGCGACTCATCCGCCGGCGACATGCTCAGCAGCGTTGGAGCTGTGAAGTCGCCTCCGAGAACTGCTGCAGCTTGAAGTTTTCACACGCAGACAAGCAAGGGTGTCTGGTGTCTTAATGTTTTCTGATAGCAGATTCGGATAGCACAACAAGAGGACTTTGCACGAGACGTGTGGGCCTGTGGTGAACTGGATGGAAAAGGCTGCATTGGTGTCCGTCATGGCCAAGTTCTGGATGATGCCCGCATCGAAGGAAAGGGTGTACACTGTTTCCTGCCAACGATAACGCTCAGCCGTGAAAGCCACATAGTGCGGGCCCCGGGCCGAGAGCCTCTGCGAATACGATTTGCCGGCCACCGGCGCTCGAGGCATCGTTCAGAAGAAGAGACTGGCCGCTGATGACTACCTGCGTGAGTCGCAGACCCGAGTAGCATGCGCAAACTACGGTACATTGGTGGCACAGATGTATGCCAAATCATGGACCAAGATACATCGCTGCTTGGCACAGATATCGTAGTTGCAGAGGCACTTGATGCGCCAATCCCGGAGATTGCAGGTTGTATCGTTATGTAGCCGAAGCTGGCTTGAATGTTCTCCTTGGCTGGAGCAGTCCGAAACACCAAGCTGCCTGTAGCAACAGCTACTGTAGTGAATATGGACTAGAAGACCTTCTCAATCAAATCTTTCCCGCCCAAGCGTCTGCGAACTCGATCTCCACGATGGAGTTGGTCCGGACATTCTGGTTGTTGTTGGTCCACGCTTGCGAGTCCTGATGAATGCAAGCGCTGTAAGTTCAGAGGCACGCAAGCACCACATCAATCCTGCACGTCCGAGCCATCTGGCCAGCTGACGTCCTGGTCAAGTAACTATTGTGGGAGCACCTATATCACGACAGTTTAGCCACGTCTTGGCAGGCACTTGTCAACCTGCCCTAGGTTTCCACCAGATTGGAGCTGCAGATGGCAAATTGTCCTGGAGATGCGTAAGCGAAACCGTCCTGGGAAAGGCTCAATGTTTCAGTCACGCCTACTTCGAATGGCAGCTTTCCTGCACACACGAAGGCTTCGCAGTCTTATCCCATGCGCCCGAGCCACTGAGTTTTCAAGAATTGCTGCTGCACGTCGCCATTTGCTAGCCCCAACCACACGGCAAGGAGCCTGAGACACACACGGGACACGGAGGCACAACATACACACAAAAAATGAAAAAGTGGAACCCCGAAGCGTTCACATCTGCACCTCGACCACGCGATGTGCCCTCTCGTGCCCGGCGCCATTCGGGCGCCGAACCCGACAGCCTGAAATCCGTCGCAAAGTCACAAGAAAGATCGGATCACGAGGAAGCCGCGGGACATTTCTGCTGGTGCTAGTCAGGAAAGTTTTCAAAACACTTCAGCGAACCCGACTGATATACTACGCGGCCTCACAGCACCCACGCTGCCATCAGGACGAACACAGCCAAAAAATCGATCTAGGTCAAGGCTTGGGCATGTGGATGACTCGTGGGGACACCCATCACCTTGTTTTGGTTTATCTTGAATCTGGACTCCACCCGGTCTCTCTTGAGCTTGCACGGTTCACTCGACAGTTCTGTGCCCAGAAGTGTGGCCAAGAACACCTCAACCATTTACGAAGGAACCGAACAATGGCTGCATCAGCTGGAACTTGGAATTACGACAACCGAAAACTTGATATGAACCAACATGGAAAGTCGGTGGAGTTCTGGAGCCAAGGGCGACATCACAGCAGAATGCAAGTGCCAGGCAATGGGGTGCGAAAATATTATGCAGTCGACATCAACGACATCGCTCTTGAACTTTTTGTTCACGGCCATCAAGCACAGCCGAGATCTTGAGGTCTTCAAGTCGGAGCTCAGCAAGACTGCAAAACCGCTACGAGCCCATCGATGGCCGTGGCAACTTCGCGACAGCCCCATGTCATCTTCATCATGCTGAAGACCTGTTCAGAGAGGGAAATGAGGTTATCGGCAGGACTGAGACCATCAGGCGAGCCTGGATGGCGATAGTGGCCTCAGGGCTGGCGCCCGTCTGCAGCAAGCTGCCGGCCGTTTCGCAGGCCTCGCAAAGGCAAAGGTGCTGCCTACCTGGGCCCCGGGAACCTTTTCGGCACAAGACAAGACTTGTCGGGCCTTCTGCTTTTGTTCCTGGACGGTGCTTTTTGATTCAGCGATCTCCTTGCTTTTTTGCTGCATCTTTGGCTTCGCTTCTTCGCACGTCTTGATGTCCGCCTTGATGTTGGCAACGCGCTGGTCGAAGGTCAACTTTGCTTCTTGCTGCCCTTCGGAGTGGCCTTGCTGCCCGTGGTGGTCCACCGCCACGTTCAGCTTCCCTCCACCGCCAGGCACCACAATATCGCCCGTGAAGTCCGGGGCATTGAAATCAGGCATCTGGATGTTGAAGGAGGTTCCCTGGACTTGGCCGACCTTGATCTCAGGTACCACGATATCGATCTCAGGGATGTGCACAGTAGCGGAGACCTGAACACTGATGCACTGCTCCACAGCAAGAGTATACTTCGCGAAAGCATCCTTCAACTCTGTCGCATGCGCGGGACAGAACTGGCCCTGGCCCTGCCCCTGCCCGGAGAAGGAAGAGCCCATAGACTCCTCGGCCTTTTTCTTGGCTTTCGTCTTCTCACACTCCTCTGCCTCATGCTGAATGCTCTGCAAAGCCTGGCGCTCGCTCTCCACCTTCTCCGTTTCCTGCTTGATGCCTACGGCACATTGGCCCAGCTGCGCCTGCAAGTCGTAGAGCTCTTTCAGCCTTCCAAAGCACATGGACTTCGCCGTTTCCATCTCTTTGCGCAAGTCCTCGTCGCTCTTCTTACACTTTGTGGCATCGCCGATCTTGATGGGGGAGTCGCACGGTGGGACGGGGCCAAAGTCTCGGTCACCGGTGGCAATAAGGCAGTACCACAGCGGCACAAATGTCGCTTTGTGAAAAGATGGGTCTTTGCAAGCCACTTCCAGCTCCTTCTGTCCGCAGTTCAAAGCATCCGCCATCATGCCACCCATCATGTCCATCATGCCACCCATGTCAACTCCAGGGAAGGGGCCACCGCCGCCGCCAGCCTGGGACTGGCCACCGGGCTTGGGAAAGCCGGGCAAGCCACCCCCACCAAAGTCACCAAAGTCACCCATGCCCGGGAAGCCGCCCTTTTTGTCGTCCCTCTCGGCTCCAGGCATGCCGCCGCCGCCAAAAGCCCCTGGCCCGCCGGGCATATTTGGGAAGTTACCTGCTCCGAAGTCACCAAATCCGCCGAAGCCGGGTGGCTGCTCTAACTGTTGTGACTGGTGGTTGCTGCGCTTCGCATATGTCAGGGCCATGGTGCATGCCAGGCCAAGACTGGCAAGGTACGAAGGAGCCATCACGAAATGGGGCCGACCGGATGACCGGACGAAGTTTTAGCAAACGATCACCTAACTGGGCAGGAGACGGCTTCTTCGCGCAAAGAGCAAAGAGGGTTTTAATCTTCAACCTGCTTGCTGGCACTTAACGTGCAGCAGGAGCGTTGCATGAGCTGCGAAACGCAGGCTCCGCTACTCCTGTTTTCACCAGGCTTGCACCGCGCACTTCGTGAGCCGCTCAGGCGCATCGAAGAGGCAAACGCCGCCTCAGGATTGGCAGGGCACCGAAAGGCTCCGGCAAGGCGACTCGCTCAGCAAAGCCCGGCACTCTGCTGGAAGTGTTCGGCAGCCTCACAGAGGTGACCGTAGAACTCCACCTGCCGAGGACAAAGGGAAGCGGTTTTCCTGCAGCAGGAGAAAGCTCTTGCGTCCTGCATGGGCTTAGACGAGGCCTTGCGCCTTCTAAGTTTGCTCACATGCCCAGAGCTCAGACTCAAACAAATAAAGCACCTCATCGGCCCAAACACGTTGCATAGATTTGCACATGGCTCAACACGAGAGGGAGTCACCGCGCTGCAATCGCTGCCGCGGAGGACGAGAGCCACAGTGTTGGCTGTCTCAGGCACCTTTCGGCGAATCGCAGAGCGGTACAGCAGTAATCGAGATGTCGACGACAGGCGACTGTGTGACTGCACCGGCCTCAAGAGCCAAAGCTGGAACGGCCTGCAGGAGAACCCCCAAGACTTCCCTCGTGGCGCGGCTACGTGCCATGGCGTGCCTTGCTGCCCTGAAGTCGCTTCTGAAAGCCGTGGAGCATCTCCTACACGGCTTTTGGGCTCGGGAGAGTGTAAGCTTGAAGTTGTTCATCCTCGGTGGGGAATCCAGGCGGCACGTTGGCCTCGGTCGATCATAGCTTCACAACACAAGGAAGGGACAGAGCTTCCTGGACCCTCTTTCCCGTCTATCCTCAGTTTCCTCTTTCGGCCTCCTTCCCCTGTGTCAAGCGGCCGCGACCACGGCTCGTTCTTTGAGAAGCACGGGCAAGGCTTCTGCAAGCGGCCCAGCCTTGCCAGGAAACCCAAGCCCGGTGCTACAATGTGCTACACACCTGGTCTTCTCATCCCTCGAGCCTCGTCCCACAAAGGTCGTGGGACCCGGTTGAGAGCATCGTAGGCATCGATGATGACCTCGAGGCAGTCCCGGGGGTTTCCACGAACAACTACAACCGAAGCCAAAGCCAGACTCGGCTAGACCATTCTGGGCCAGTCTGCAGCATCGTAGCGGGGACCGTGAGGATCATCTGCCCACTCTGCAGCCAAGGCGGCACCTGCAAGGTTACTCTGCAGCTCAGTCGGTTGGCAGTTCTTCTAAGCCGCACGTGTCAGTGCATGTCTGCTTCCAATGTTGTTCGACGACGCCACAAAACTCGACACACAGAATACAACTCTATATTGAGTCTATATGAGTGAGGCTCATCCGTCATAGTTTCGCATGGAACTCCAGCTGTCCGCATCACCATCAAATCCCAAACCTGTCCCTCCCTGCCGTCGCCGCAGATCGCTTGCAGGCGACCTCTCAATGCTCGGCGCAGTGGGGAAGAGCCCGTGCCTTTCCACAGGTCGGGGGAGCTTGTGCATTCTCAGGCCGACATAACCCTTAGAACTTGTCATTGTTTGCAACGACTGGAGAAACATGCAAGGCTCCGTGATCAGCTTAGGCATCATGCAGACCTGGCTCATGAGTTCTCTGACTGTTGACGTGTGGAGGTCCTGCAAGATGTTTCGAGAAAACTGCCTTGCCAAGATGGAGTGCCAAATACCATGTGGTTACGTCAGCGCTTGCCACTTATGAAGTAGGGCATCAACCATGGACACATCAAGCACGGGTTGACGCCTCCACTGATCGCCACTGGGAAACCCAAAGCTTCGCCGGCAGCGCGGATCACTGCCTCCTCTGCTCAAGCAGGGTTTGAGAGGACTTCACCAAGGACCAGAGTTTCCTTCGACTCATGGCCCCCCTGAAGTTTTCAGAATCGTCATGGTTCGGCGGGTTGAAGCCTGTTTCACATGACAACTCGACACCCCACAGGCTCAACTTCTAGTCCTACGAGCATCCTGTAGTGTCGTCGGCATGTGAAGGCTGAAGCTGGAACTCCAACGGAGTTCGTGCACAGTCCACGTCTCCCACCTCCAACTCCACCACATCAACCGAGCAGTCTGGGACTGCGTTGGCCAGCCAGAGTGGCACGGAGCCCGAACCTCACCGCAGGTGGTTCAAGCTCTGCCTGGGACTTTTCTGCAGCAACTTGCTCCTTGCTCCGCGTCCCTCAACCCTTTTTCGGTGCCCAAGGAGCTACCAACGCGGAACTGGGGGCTTGACTCTCCACGATACGCATGGCAATTGTCTAGAGACTTCTACCGTGTAAGCCGCGAGCTGATTGGCCACAACCGTGCTCTTGGTCCTGGTTGTTGTGGGATGACCACTGCTACTGCGTCATTTCACCGTCGTCTTGTTGGCTAGAACGGGTTCTGATGGTCTTCCGCAATAAGATTTTGAGAAGACCAGGCCATGATCTGATTGGTGCTGGTATCCTTCCGCATTCTTGCAGAGCATCCTTGGCTGTAGCATCCAGCCAGCTCGTATCCGCTGACTTCGTTGAGGCTTGCCCTGCCGGCAAGTGGACATTGCCTACCTGCCCTGAGAAAATCTCGCAGTAGCTTGTTCTTGTAAGGTTTCCAGCGCTCGGACATTCCTCCAAGTTCCTGATCCACTTGAATCACGCTGATACCCGTTCGAGATCTATCTAGAGTATGACGATGCCTGTCACTTAACGTGAATTTTCGCTTCAGAAGGCATCCAGATTTCCAGCTGCGTCTGAGTCAACGACTGGTCATGGCGAGAAGGTGCTATGGGGTCCACATGCTGTTTAGACTCTAGAGCTTTCAGGACAGAAGCACAATTTGGTTAACTTGCCGATCTGCATATTCGCCATATTGTCCTCACTCTTTGCAGCAATGCCTTGTCAACAGACAAACTGTGTGGCCACGGTTCATTCGCGCAGCCCTTAGGCTGGCCACATCTTTGGCCCAAGGAAGCCATCAACTTGTAGGGAGGTTGCATGAGTGACAGTGGATGCTAGTTGTCAAGCTTACAAGAATCCTTCCGCCTACACGTTGCGATTGTACATGTAACCTCGTGAAGTGGATCAAGGATTCCAGTCCATTTTTGCAGCCGTCTTCGAGATGCCGTCGTCTAAATACCTGGTACGTAGCTTCCTGCGTGCATCAGAGCCAGGAGTCTTACTGCCTGCTCTGTAGTGAGCATAGTGCGCGGCTGCGTCCTTCGTCCCATTAGATCTCTTGCCGAGTGGCCAAGGCCAATCACTAAGACGCGAGGCGTCCGGGCGTCCATCATCAACAGGCTTGCAGCAACCGACGCTGCAAGGGTCTTGGGATAGTTCAAGGCCAGAACCTGATGAACGGACTGGCTTCAAGCTATCATTCATCTGCTGGTCGGAAGCTGAAATCTCGATTTGTCTTTCCACTCATAGCCTGCACATGGTGCTTCTACGATCTGCCGGATTGTCCGGTCCAAAGGTTCCGTCATGCGCCCTTGCCTGAGGATCAGCTTCTGGGAGCCAGCGGCCGTCAGCTGTGCACGTCACTTTCCTTTCCAGTTTGTGAAAGACTATGCCGGCTACGTGCATGATACATCATTGTCCACGCAACATCCGACAGCTGCAGTTGCTGACTTCCACTCCCAAAGCGCAAAACTAACGCTGTTGCTAGTGTCAGAAGTCCTCACGAGGAATCTGAAGCGACAAGCGACGTAGCAGTCATGGTGTGTACATGCTATTCGACCATCTGCAATCAACGATGCGATCTTGAATCCTGACACCCAGCCTGCACGGCTCTACGGCATCTTTCCACATGCATCCCAGCTGCGACACAGATTGGATGAAAGGCGGGCCCCGCTCCTTTCGCGGAAAATTGCTCTGATTGGTTTAGTTCGCTCCTTGACAAAAAGTTCAACACTGCGAGCCATGTTCGGCGCACAGGCGAACCTAGTATTCTCCGTCCCGTGTCGTGTCGGTTGCACTCCTTGGCAGTTTCTGGTGCCGATTCGAAGACCAAGCTCCTCCCAGAGAAGGTGGCACGTCACAGGCGCAAGCCACGCACTGGAGCCGGCCTCCACTCCTGAAAGCTCCCAGTGGGCCACCCTGGTGGCACCTGTGCGCAAGGCCTAAACAGACTTGGTTTGCGGTCTTGTGTGGCCTGCTTGAAACAGCATAAAATTGATTCCCCATCTGATGAAGATCTGCTTGCACCTGCTGCTCTGACGCGCTGTATCCTTGCACGAAAAGCCGCCCACCGCAACTGAGAGGAAGCGATAACCTGAAGTTGCTTGAAGTACTTATCGTTTGAATCGGTGGGATCTGGTTTTGGAAGCTCGCTATGTCAGCTTGAGAGGCTTCGCTCAAGCCAATCCAACATTGCGCACGAACAAACACGTCTTTGGGTAACAGGACTCAGGACAGCTCCAAAAGCCTCAGGTTCGAAATTACAAGCATTACCTACAAGGCTGCCGGGTGAGACCAGCTACAAGACTAATCGAGCTTAGATAAGATTTTCGTGGATTTGAATGTCCTGTGTCCAGTGGCCGTTCCTCTCCGGGGCCGGAATACTCACAGCGGAGCTCCCTCCTGAAAGCAAGCAAAATCTGTGCTTGGGATGTACTTTTGCACCAATACCGGTTGCGACTCAATATCCACTGCCCTTGACATGAACACAGCAGCCTTCCCGGATCTCGCCGGGAAATCTCTGCGAAGAATGCCGCAGATAGAGTATGCCAACCTCGGACACAAGCAGACACGTGAACACACCACTGCGGAAACAATTCCAGAGAAACACACACTAGCAACACAAGGCATTACGTCTGTCCACGAATCTCCTCCCATTCCGTGAAGCTTTGCTGCCAAGCCTCTGATGATGGCAAGAACAAGGATGAAGCCTGTCAGTCGTCTCCATGCCTTCCGAACAAACATCAGTAAGCTAACGCACAAGAACCAAAAATGCAAGGCCGTTTCAGAGACACACGCACGGCAGATAACACGCGAACACACAAGAATGCGCATCTCCCATCTGCGATGCTGTTTCATACATCCATCAGCTGCGCCTGTCGTTTTGCCGTGCCGATAAAAGCCGCCATGTTTCACAAACTTCGCATATGGACATGCTCCACATGTAGTGTACCAACACTAACAACAAGCTGCCAATGAATGTTTCCAGATGATGCAAACAACCGACATGTTGAGATGATTCCGGACAATCACATATGGCTTTCCATACTTGTTTGGTACGGTTCCAGACCGAGTGATAAAGCAAGAAACGGCAAGGCGTTTGGGCAACGAGCCTTGCAAACAGCAACCAAACAGACTTGATTGATTGTCAGATCATTCTCCGTCATACGAACAATTTATACAAAAATCTTCACAATCAGCGACAAGTATTTCAAACCAACTACAACAATCAAAACACACTAAACTCATGATAAACAACAGGCAAATCCCGCCAACACTCAAAAACCTCAAAAACCCAAACACAAAACAACAAAAGCAACGGCTTGCAAAACTTTTGCTGCTTGTGGCCACGGAAATCCCAGAAAATTGTTGCGCGGGGTGCTCCGGTCTTGCACAGATCACCACAGCGGCGCAATTTTTGGAGGGGCAAATTTTGACTTTACTTTAGATGTTCTTTCCCTTTCCAATTTTTGGTACGGGGGGGTTGGTGGGCTTGAGTGCAGGGGAAGTTCCGGCGGGGAGAGCTTGGAGGCCCTGAGGGCTGCGGGACGGGGCATGTCGGCAAGCGGAACATGCTGTCACATCAGCCAAGTCATGCGCGTCTTTGTACAAGACATCTAAAGTTGTCAACCCCAGTGCATCACCTCACACATTGAGAGACTTCGTATGAGAGCTTGGTTTGTGTTCTAAATTTCTACATCACTTCACAAATGCGAACTCCTTCGTACATGTGGGTTTCGAAGCAATATGATGTACAGGCAACAAATATACATAGAACAAAAACATGTCTATATATATATAAATATATATAAATACATATATATATATATACATGATGTATGAGCAATATATGTAGTGTAGCTAATATGTACATAAAACTGTACCATACAACACAAAGTGCAAAACATCTAGCTTACAATAAAGATGATATTGTGTTCTTCTTGTACCGACCATGTATGAACAGCACAGAACATGTAACAAGTCGTTTCATAATTTTAGCAAAAATTCATAGCATATGCAAATATAAAAGTTTAACACATACTGTTTACCATTTACTCCAACATATGTAAATACGTAGAATTAAATAGATATATATATATATATACATATATATATATATAATATACATATATATATATATACATACATACAGTGAACTTCTAAGTGCAGGATTGCGATCGAATGCACGCCACACACCAATCAAAGGCAGTCTTCTGTCTTCAGCTGAAAGCTTTGTTTGCAATTGCGCAATCGCTGTGTTTTGTGGGATGTTACTTGCGTGAAATGGAAACAAAGAAAAGTTCTTGATCTTTTTCGATGACACAGTTGGTTTCTTTCGTTTTCAGCCCCTAAAGCGATTTCGTGTACTTATTCTTCTTTTTGTGTGTTTGACAAAACGTTGGTTCGAAGATAGAATGGATAAGTCAGTTTTTGTCCAGTTTGCGTTGCGTTGCAAAATTTCATGCTGTAGCGCTCTTCGTTGTGTTATTTGACATGTCATGTGTGTGTTTCTGTTTTTGCAGAGGTCAGAAAAATGTTAAAGACCCAGAAAAAAAGATTCAACGAAGGAAAAAAGGACACTACAGTTACGAGATGTTCTAGGCCGAGAAAAAAAGTCCAATAGTAATCCGTCCATCCAACTTCTCTCTCGCAGAACAACGCTCCAAAACGAGAGCATGCCAGTCGTCTTTGCAATCGGATTTCGTGATCCATGCAGTTATTAATTTGTTTTTGTCGCTTTGAATCTTCTTAAAGCGTCTTCGTGAAACTTTCTCCTCCTTAATGGAAGAAGCTTCAATGTACGCTTGTTTCAGTCCAAGCAAGCCCTTTCTTGAAACCCTCCTTTAAAACTCTGCCTTCAAGTTCTTCCTTCAAGCTCCTCTTCAAGTCTCTCCTCGCGCGGCTGACTGTGGCATTGCTTGGCGTGTGCAGGCAAGCGTTCTCCGCACGGCTGACTGTGGCACGGCTTGGCGTGCGCAGGCAAGCGTTCCGCCTTCACAAAAACCCTTCCACTTTCGAGGTTTAGGGGATATAAGGTTTAGGGTTCAAGCTTTATAGGTTTAAAGTTTAAGGTTTAGGGTTTAAGTTTAGGGTTCACCAGCGGAGAAGCAGCTTTCAGAAATGCATGTTTGTGCTTGCCTGCAAACTATAACGTTCCATGCTAGGGATTTGCTTCCAAGCCAACCAAAATGTCCACTGTAGATGGATTTGCGGTTGAAGCTTTAAACCCGGATTCATGCCGGCTGCTTTCAATGCCAGTCCAAAAGTCCAAAATCGATGCCTGCTACTCTCACTGCGGGCCCACGCCTCTAAAACCATATGTCTGCTGCTTTCAATGCCAGTCCAAAAGTCCAAAATGGATGCTTGCTACTCTCACTGCGGGCCCAGGCCTCTAAAAACCGCGTCTGCTGCTGTCACTCTGCTTCAAGCGGCCTCAAGACAACACCAAGCTGCGCGCTGTCCGGTGAAACAAACAAGGTTGAAACAACAAATTTACGACGAGTCAAAACTCAAAATCACGCGTGCGACTTTCACTGGGAATCTTTAACATGAGTGCAGGGGTGAAACGGCACACTGTCGGTGCAAGTTCCAAAATTCAAGCGCGCTTTGACTATTCTTTTCAAGCAAGCATGCCAAAATATTACAAAATGTCACAGCTACATGCGAAAAAGAATCAAACATGCATGTTTACAAAAGACGCATTGACGATTGTCCAGAACTTCTAGCCGATTCTAGCCTGAAGAGTATTTCTGCGATTGAGCGACAGCCATCTCACAGAAGCAAATTGTTGTCAAGAACTATTTTTCACCAACTTATGCAGAAACATACCACAACCATATGCAAAAAATCCAAATTGCAATTCTACTTCTTGCAAAAGACACATGTCGTTACGCATTGACAACTCTCCAAAACTTCCAGGAAAATGTTTTTTCACGATTTAAATGACAGACATCTCCCCAAAAGCAAAGCGGTTTTTTCGAGAATTCTGCACCAACTGCCTTGGCAACTTCCAAAAGAGTTTCCAAACTGCTTGGAAGCTCTGACATAGTGTGCGCACTCCGGGGATGGAGTTGCACCTTCTCACGGAAAGCCATCGGATTGCTTGGTCTTTTTGGCTCGACTCCGCTTGTGCGCCTTCGGCCCACATGCGATCGGTGCCAAATTAAAATCAGACACGGCTTTTTACAAAAGCAGCGTGCTCAGACTGTGTTACAAGAAAAGTGCAGATGCTCGTCCAAGTTGGCCGTCAGCACAACAGCATAGCGGAGAACAAATATTTGTGCACCGCATTCAAGGTCTCCTCTGCCACCACTCCGTATGAGACGGCCTTGCTATGGGACGCGCCACATCCGTTCTTCTGACTTGTCTTGCGATGGATGCTTAAACCTTCCATGTGTGCAATTTGAAAGCACATACACTGCTGCTTTAGTGCGTCCATCAAAGAGAACACGGGCACCGTCCAAGTCTTCTTCAAGTTTGGCTCTGCACTTTGCTTTCCAACCAGTTCCGCATCTGGATGACGCAACCGTGTGCTAGATGCTGGATGCGTCTATATCTGGCCCTGACATGAGCAACAAGCCCTTGTTGTGCAAGTGAACAGGTGGAAGCATCTCAAGTCAGAAGAACACACGCGCGAAGTAACCGGTCCGCACAAGTTAGAGCTGTGTTCGCCCAAATCCAGGTTCTTCCATCTTCAGGCAAAATTCCCTCAATGTCCGTCACATCCTCTCTTGACTCTCAGAAGTGCAACCAATGCAGATGGACCCAAGCTTGACTGCCACCACCGTCCGCACCATCGTCTGGAAGACTTGTCCAGGATGCTATGTCCTTGTCTGATGTAGAGTGGGTAAGAAAGCAGAAGAACGCTCAGCAGGCCGTCCTGTCTCCAGACGTTCCCGAGCAGCAACAGCGTTTTTTAGTGTTCTATCCAAGGCGTGTTGGAGAAGAGAATCAAAGCTGAGTGAGCTCTTCTATGACAAGCCAGGCAGTGCCCGCTTCTCACACTCTGCCGCACCCAGTGGCGGCCGTCTTGCGCTCCAAGCCGACATTCTGCAACCGCTGCGAAGTCTTCTGTTAATCGGAGACGGAAGTGTTAAAGTGCTTGTAACTGTTGCAGCATGCAGCTTCCCAACGGCTTGCATGAACAGTCCTTTGGCTTTGTGTTGGAGTCCCACACATCTGCTTACAAAGACGCTTACTTGCTGTTGGGTAGTTCTGATCCGGAATATCTGACAGCAGAGGAATTCAACAAGCAAGACATTATTTTTGTTCAGGATTCGGACGACGACACCTCCAAGCTGAGGAATTATCTTGCAAGAGAAACTCTTCGACATGTTGCTCCAGCCAGTGCTAAAGTTTCAAAGCTTGAAGTGCTGCTGCAACAGAAAGAGACGCCAAGAAGTTGTCCGGACATGGACCTCTAAGCCCCGCATCTAGTCATCTCTGTTTGACGGCAGTCAATATCATTCGTTCCTGCCATAACAGCATCCCAGTGCGTTGATAGCTGTGGAACAATGCGATCAAGCACGGGTCTTAGTGTCTACCTTGCGCCACTTTGACATCCACGGAGATTGGCAGGAGTGTGGAGGCGGTTACTCGGTTGCTTACCTGAAAGATGTAGCTGACATTCTTGCTTGTTGTTGAAGAAAACAGGAAATGCTTCATCTGTGCGACGCAACGGGTGCACCTATGTCGTTGCGGCTTATCGTTTGCTGGTAACAGTAAAAGGCAGCTGGAACTTACAG